CGCCAGCGGAGAGCGTCGCGGGCCTCGCAACGCGCTCTTCGCTGACAGCGAACGGCCTCTCGCGTCCTCGGCAGACGCCACGCCAAAAGCGTCTGCCTCCGCGGAGGGCGGCTCGCCCGGCCCCGACCCTGGCGCCGCCAGCGCAGGATCGGCTCCCCAGGCCGCCAAGCGTGCTCCGCCACTGGCCCTCCGCTCCAAGGCCGCGGCGGCCCCTCCGCCTGCTATCGGGGTGGGCTCGTCGCGCGTCGGCTCGCGGGAAGCGCCAAAGGGGGCCTCAGCAGCTACCCCCCGCACCTTCCAGCGAGCGGCCAGGGTGAGCGCCTCTCGCCAACTGCTTGGCGTAGTGGACGGGGCCTCGCGCGGCACAATTGAGGCCGCCTTCAGGCGCCAGTCCCTAGTCTACCATCCAGACAGGACTCCCGCGCACCTGGGCGCCGACGAGCGAGCAGCCCGCGCGCTGAAGTGGAAGCAGCTCTGTGACGCCAAGTCAGTGTTGCTCCAGGCCGTCTCGCAGGCCGCCGCGCCGCCCGATGTTCCTAGCACGGGCGGCGACGGTCCTGCCGCCCGCGCCTACGCCCGGGCCAAGGCGGCAGGAAAGGGCGCCCGCAAGGGCAAGCTGGCTCCAGGGTCGACCATGGCCCTTCAGGCGCTCGAAGAGGCGGTCTCCTCGCGGGTCGCCCTTGCGAGCGCCGAGCTGGCCCCTCGGGCTGCCCTCCCCGCCTCGGGCGCGCCTCTCCCGAGGGGCGGGGTTTCGTCTGCCCTCGCGACGCGGGCGGCTGAGTCGGATGCCATCCTCGTCTCCGCCGTGTCGCGCGGCCGCGTGGAGCTCGACGCACTCCGCACCGCGCGTGCCGACGCCACCAGGCGCACGGTGCAGGCTCCTGCACGCGGCGAAGGAGAGCGTGCCGTCGCTCGTGCCGAGCTCGCGGAAGGGATGGCCGATCGCGCCTACTTCCGACGCGTGCGCGAGGCCGCCAGTCGAGAGGCCGCGGGCTTGCCGCGCACTGCTCCCGTCCAGCTGGGTCGGGATTGGCGCAAAACCTTGCGCGCCGTCCTGCACAACGCTGAGGTCTCGACGGGCCTCGCCATCGCAGAACGTGCCGCTCGTGCTGGGGACGCACCCGCGTCGTCCACTGGCCGCTCCTTGGCCGAGGTGGAGGCTGAGGACCCGCGCGCCTTGGCAAGGCCCGCCGACGACCCTGCGTCCAGCTTCAGCCGTCGTGAGCGGCGCGCGGTCCGCGCCCGCCTGGGCCCGCGGGATGAAGCGGTCGAGGACCAGCCCAACCGCGGTGGTCACGCGCCGCACTCCGCCTCGCGCACGGGCGCCGCGCGCACCAGGCGCGCCGCCAGGCAGCGGCGGGCTTCGATGGCGGCGCTCCCCGCCCCTGAGGGGGGGGCCGCCACGGCGCCTGGCCGCAGGGCGCGTCGCACTGCCAATGCGCGCCGCTGGGCAGGCGCGGCACGCCCCAGCTCCGCCGCGGGAGTGGGCTCCCCACCGCGGAGCCGCAGCCCTGCCCGCAGCCGTACGCGGTCTCCAAACCCGTACGGGACCGACCGCACCTCTCCCTCGGGGGGCTGCTCGTCGCCTCCCGTCGACGGCCCGATCTCGCCCGAGGAGCCGTCGGAGCCGCCTGCGGGGGAGGCATCGGAGGGCCCGCGCACTCCTGACGGGTCCCCGCCCGCGAGCGTTCGCAGCCGCTCGAGAGCGGAGCCCGCGTGCGACGAGGACTCTCCGACGGAGCTCGAGGACGTCGTGCTGAGTGCCCTCGCAGACTCCTCGATGGACCTCGAGCGCGTCGTGGCGGGCCTGAACCCCGAGGTCCTCCGCCGCCTGCAGGCGGCCTTCCCTCGCCGCTCGGGGGCCTCTCCGCCCGCCGCTCGCGCCTCGGTTCGCAGTCGCTCTCGGGGCCGCGGCACGCGTGTAGGCTCCGAGACTCCGCGGCCCGTGCCCCCGCCGCCGCCGCCGCCCCCTCACCACTCTGGTGGGCGTGCGGCGTCGCGATCCCGCGCGTCGACCGCAGGCCAGGGGCTTAGTCGGGCCGTCGCGCGCGGCTCCTCTCGCGCGCCTTCGCGTCAGGCGACGTCGCCTCGGCGTCGCGAGGTGCGCTCCCCTCGAGTCGCTCCGAAGCGGCGCCCGAGCCCCGCTACTGCGCAGCGGCCAGCCACGTCCCGCCATGGTGCGAGCTCGGGCGACGCCCACGCAGGCAGCTCCCGCGCGGACTCCGCTGCTCAGGCCCCTCAGTCTTCGGTAGGCACGCGCTCCTCCAGCGATGCTGTTGCGGCCCCGCAGGGCGGAGGGCGTGCCGCCGAGGAAAGGGGGTCTTCGAGCGGCCCCGCGCCTGGCCGAGATTCAGGGCACGAGCTGCATCCCAGCGGCTCCCGCAGCGGCGACGCTGGGAGCGCCGCGGCTGCAGCCTTCGCAGCGCGGCGCACGGCCTCCGCGGCCGTTGAGCAGCCCTTGCCTCCAGGGGCCGCCACCGCCCTAGCGTGGCGTCTCAACCTCGGCGGTGAGAAGGTCACAGTGGTGAGGTGGGGACCCGCCTGGCAAGCTGCCTTCCAGAGCGCGGCGTCGTGGCTGAGGTCTTTCGCACCCGCAGGGGCCGCCGAGCCCGAGGGCAGAGATGACCTGCACTGCCTCCTGCAGGCCTTGCACGCCTATAAGCGCCTGTTTCAGACAGGCGGCGCCGAGCCGATCGACGAAGCCTCGTGGTTGCATCCTTACGTGGCCGCCGTCGAGCCCGAGGCTATCCCCGCGGGCGCTGACCTCCAAGCCATGGGGGCGGGCGCCATCCGTGGCATCGGGCTCGGCTCAAAGATCGAGCACAGGAGGCGCGCGGGCAAGTTGGCCTGCCTTTTCGACCTTCTGTACCACGTGCAGGACGGTCACGGCGCCATCCCAGCAGCGCTGTGGGGATCTCATTCCCCTCCGTCCGAGATCCTCGACGCGTTCGCGGAGGTGGTGCCCGTTCCACATCATTCGGGCCTCACGTCCTCGGCAGCTCGTTCCGAGCTCGCCGAATCGGCCGCAGCTGCGCGCGCCGAGCCGCGCCCGCCCTTTGACTGGGCGACCCTCGAGGGAAGGGGCGCTCTGCCCGCCGAGATCGAAGCAGGGGCTCGCCGTGCTCACCGTAACATGGGCGGATCCTTCACCTCGGCGCGGGCGATGCTGGCGGAGGCGTCGGGGTTCGAGACCGACGGGCGGGACACCCTCGTTCCGCCCTTCTACGCGTCCAGGAGCAGGAGGGCCGCCACGCTGATCAGCTCTCCCAGCCCTGGCCGCCCTGCGCTCATCCTGTGGTGCGTCTGCGGCCTCTGCATCTCTCTGGGAGCCGCGGCGCCGACCGCAGGCCAAGGGCTTAGTCGGGCTGCGCCTTCCGCGCCCGCTCGCCCTCCGCGCACTCCCTTCGTGCGCGATTCTCACCTCACCTCCGCGTATCTCGATCGTCGCTCGAGATCGATTGATGCGTTCGAACTGTGGTTAGCAGAACACACTGGCGTGCCGCCCGCCACTCTTTACCGTAGCGGGATACTTCTCGCCCGCTTCCTCGCGACCTTCGGCGTGTGGCTTCATGATGCAGGTTTCCCTCATTATATTCTGGTTCATGCCATCTTGGGAATCCAGAGCGCTCATCCGCATTGGAAGGCCTTTCTAACAGAAGCTTGGGACGTAGCGAAACAATGGAAGCTCGCGGAGCCGCCAAAGCTCCGCCCGCCCTTACCTCGCGCTCTGCTGCGCGCTATGGTCGGTCTCTGTTTCGCCTGGGACTGGCCTGTGATGGCGGCCTTGCTGCTCATGGGCTTTACGATGTTCCTCAGGCCTGGCGAGCTGCTGGCGTCACGCCGCTGTGACTTGTCGCTTCCTTGCGACCGCCTCGAAGTTGAAGGGGGTGCTTTTCTTTCGATTCTTGTTCCAAAGACCAGGAGAACGTACCCGACGCAGCATGCTCGCTGCTCCGATCGGGGCACGGTGAAGATTCTGAATCAAGTGTTTGGGCGGTTGGCTTCCACCGATCCTCTCGCCCCTTTCGGTGCGAGCGGCTTCCGTACTCGGTGGAATCATTTGCTTTCGGCCCTGGGCGTCCCTCTTGCCAAAGCGGGTCAGGGGCTCAACCTGACGCCCGCATGTCTGCGGGGCTCTGGCGCAACAGACTTCTATATCGCTACGGAAGACGTCCCTCGCGTCTTCTGGCGGGGGCGTTGGCGTCAGGCTTCCAGTGCTGAGCGCTACCTGCAAGCCGCCGCCGCTTCCACAGTTCTTGCTGCGCTGCCCGTGCCCGCACGGGCGCGGATCCTGTTCTTCGCCACCGCCAGCGACCGCCTTGTCGCTTCATTTCTCCAAGTCGGCCCCGCCGCTTGGCCTGCCCTACTTGCGGCCGCCCGCCGAAACCTTGTCACTTCGCAAGGTCCTTGAGCACGGGTATGGCTGCCTCGCCGTCGTCGGCGAGCAGGCGGTCTCCCCCGCCTGACGCGCGGCGCCCCGGCACGAGCGCGCGGGACGGGCCTGCCCATTTTGGGCCGCCCCGCGCGCGCGAGCCGCGGCCGCGCTCGGAGACAGCTCGCTAGCGCGCGAGCGGGAGAATGCCTCTTCTATTCTCTGTGAGCAAGCTCCTGCTGTCTCCGCAGCTTCTCTGCCCCCCTCCCTCCTCTCCCAATCTAAGGCTGATGGGCGCTGCCTCGCCGTCGTCGGCGAGCAGGCGGTCTCCCCCGCCTGACGCGCGGCGCCCCGGCACGAGCGCGCGGGACGGGCCTGCCCATTTTGGGCCGCCCCGCGCGCGCGAGCCGCGGCCGCGCTCGGAGACAGCTCGCTAGCGCGCGAGCGGGAGAATCCTCCTCCTCCTCTTCCTCCTCCTCCTCCTCCTCCTCCTCCTTCTCCTCCTCCTCCTCTCCTCCTCCTCCTCCTCCTCCTCCTCCTCCTCCTCCTCCTCCTCCTCCTCCTCGGGTCGCCTACGGCCCCGTGGGAAACCGTGCAGCTGGGGAGGAGGGCCGCGTCGCGGCGGCAGGACCGACGAGCACGGGAGCTGGCAGGTGGGCGACGCAAACAAACGGGTTCGACTGGTGATCGTTTTTTTATTCCTTGTTTTGCCGAGAGGCGCGGGCCCTCGCCCCCCCCCTCCCCTCCCTGGAGTAGATCTCGGCTGTTTTCGGCGCCTGTTTCGAGCAGGTGGGGTCTCCCCTCTTAGGACGCGCTGTCGCGAACAGTCGCGCTAAGCAGAGGTCCAGATCCAGACCACCCCCCTTTCCCCCCTCTTCGCTCCATGTCGAAACGCCGAATAAGAAAACGCTCACCTGCGCCGACATTCGCAGGCTGCCCGCGTAAGGGCGCGCATAAGCGCCCTCGCTTCCAATAGAGCATGCCTCGTCGGCGGCCCGCAAGCCACCGGGTAAGGTCGCTATGTCGCTGTGTCATCTCGCATAAGGCGCGTTTCTTTTCGTCGCTCAGGTGGTGCCGGGTTCGGAGAAGACCCAGGCCCTCGCGGCGGCGGGGTTGGGGCGGCGCGGGCACGATTGTGCGTTGTCTAGGGTGGGTGGCTAGGTTCCGATTCTACAGGCTTACGCCACATCCGCCGACCCCTATATAAGGTACTGTGCCTCCAGGACTGCATTTCACGAGGCTTGTCCGCATCATGACACGGTGCTCGACATCGTTCCTGTTGCTTCGTTGCTGTTATCGTGCCTCTTGGTGCTCTTTTGTGGCCTCTTGGTGGCATCTTGGCCTGTCCGCAGGCCATATCCGGCCGCCTCGAGGCATCGTGGGCCAAGTTTTGGGGCCTCTTTGGGGCTTCCTGGGGGCTTCTTGGATACCTTTGAGGTTCTTTTGGGGGTCCCTCAGGGCCTCTTGGGCTGTTCTTGGGGCAGGCTTGGGGCGTCTTGGGGCCGAAGGCTCGAACAGGTGTCGTCTTGGGGCCGTCTGGGGGCCCTCTTGGGCTGTCTTGGGGGCTTCGGGGGCTGTTGTTGGACCCTCTTCGACCCTCCTTGGGGGCCCCTGTGGCCGTCTGGGGGCGATATTGAAGGTTTTTTTGCCCGTCTGGGACGTTGGGAATGGGACGATTTTTGTTTCTTGGGACCCTTTTGGGGCGCATGTTGGGGGCCTTTTGGGGCGTCTTGGCAGCTTCGGAGGCCGCCTGGAGGCCATCGTGGGCGTCCAGGGCCATATTTCGGCGAATCGTGGCCCCCTGGGACCGTCTGGGGAGCGTTCTGGTGCCTTCATGGCCAGTTTTGGAACCCTCCGCTCCCCCGTGACGCGTTCGGTCCGGGGTCGCCCGGGGCCGGGGGGGGGGGTCAAATCTCCGGTTTGGGGTCCCTTGGGGGGGGGGGTTATGGGGGGGGAACCATCTCATTCGCCTAGAGACCCACAAGGAGTCGGCGGACTTTTTTTCAGCATTCTCCTGTCCAGCTCACAGTGCAACCCAGGGAAGAAACTATTGATTGTTAACGCCACGCAGGGCGTAGCATGAATGATCTTCCTGTCATTCCCCTTCATCGATCCGTTCGTCACTGCAGCATTTTGGCGCGAAGCCGGTATTCTCGGGAGGGGTGAACCAGCGCTTTGTTTGACAACAAGATCGGGTTTGACTTCAGCCGCAATGGCTTCGAGATTGTCCTTCTATCTTGGTTTGGTCCTTGCGGCGGAGACGGTGCTCTCGATCGTTCGTCAGTTCTCAGCGATTTCCCAGACTCCGGTTGCGTTCCAGCGGCTGCGCCTCGCCGCGGCCGCCCTGCGGGTGGCGAGAATCGTCCCCAACGGCCGCCCGAGGCCGGATGCTTGGAGCCAGCTGGGAGGGGGCAGTGAGGAGTGGTTTTTTTCGGCCCCCGAGGGGCGGTTGTCAGGCCCTGGGACAGGGTCCAAGATGGATCGGGGGTGAACACATGCACCGGATGGACCCCGGGACAGGTTTCCAGCGGATTTGGTTGCATCCCCCCCTCCTGCTTGATTTCCTGTGGCCCGACCAGAACAGACCCCCCGGACGCCTTCAACAAGGGCCAAGGTCAGGGGGATGGGCTCAGACGGGGACGCATCGACCCCCAATCGCCCATGGATCGCCGAAAGGGGCCCGATAAACCAGCCTGCCAGGAGCATGCGGATTCGGCATCGGGGGCCTGTCGCGGATCTATCGGCGACGTATCGCCGATTCCATGTCGACGCTGTCCCTCCTGAGCCAGCTGCCCCCTCGCCGTGGCCCCTCACGGGAGCAGCATGCCGATCCGTGGCCCCCCTTGGAGAGGGAGGCACGCTTGCCCGCGCACTCGTGCTCTGCTGCGGTTCCTGCGCGGGTTACCACAGATGCCCGCGCTCATTGTGTGCCCAGGCGCGTTTCTTCGCTGATGTGTTGTCCAATCGTGTCACACGTGGGTGTGTGTGTGTGTGTGAATGTGCGTGCCAATTCGTCACCCGTATTGTATTCTGCCGCGCAACGGAAGCCTTATCCAGGCTTGCGATGTGCTGGTGTCCGAGTTGCTACACAGCCGTGACACAACAGTTTCTTCAATTTGCTATGATGAAGATCTCCCCCATCCCTCTCAATATTCTTAACATGACATGATGCTGGGTCATTCGGCGGAGTAGTTTCCGATCCCGGGGACGTTAACAACTCTGTTACCCCAAAACGGGATCGGAAATTACTCCGCGCCAAGCCATATAATTACCGAGCGGGATGCGATTGCGCGCGGAGTAGTTTTAGTAAAACTACTCCGAACTATTCCGCACGACCGCGTCATTCCAAAAGGCAAATTGAAAGAAACTTTCGTCACGGCGATGTAGTTCCGCAGAAAATCAGCTTACAGGTGCGACTCATTGTATCAGGACGGGGTTGTGCTCAGTGCGTTATTAGTTTCAGACGCGTGTTCCACTGGGGCTCCCAATCGGTGAACACAGCATACGAGTCGGTGTGCGTGCTGATGTCGCCTGCAGGACAACTTGCTTCCCACTGCTGCTCAATGGCAGCAGGCGTGCCTCTGGCTGTGCCAGAGGACAGGGTGGGGCTCCTCGTTCCCCCCTCTGCCCTCGTTCGGTGGCTCACCGGTGGGGTCCTGAGGGAGGGTGTCCCGAGGACGAGGTGCCTCAAGCAATGTGAATCCACCCTCGGAGCCCTTCCTTCGGCGGCGAGCGATGGGGGGGAAGCGCGAAGGAGACGGCCTTCTCAGCAGGCCGCGGGGCTCCTCAGAAACCTTCGCCCCTCCTGAGAGGCTTCCCGTGCCTCTGGGGAAGGCCAGGCGTAGCGAAAACTTCTCAGAAGGCTGGGGGACTCCCGAGCCTTCTGGGAAGTCACCAGCCTCGAACGTATCCCTATCCCTGAGATTGACACGCCAAAAGGCGATGGCAATCCTAGGGATGCACCCTCAGAAACTGAGGGAATCCCTAAGATCGCCATCGTGATGAGGCGATGCCGAACACAGGGATAGGGATATGTTCCAGGCTGGTAAGGAAGGCCCGCCCCCTCTCGCTCCCTCCCCGGGCCCGCCGCCGATCCCTGTCCTTCTTGGCCCCCTCCGTCGGGACCCATCCTTGGGCCACCGGCTGCTCAAATAAGAATAATAATAAGAAGAATAATCATAGAACTAATAGTAGTACCACTGATAATAATAATAATAAGAATACGAATACTAATATCAATACTAATACTAATAATAATAAGATTAGTACGAATAGTAATACTGATGATAACAAATAATGATACTAATAATAAGACTAAGAATACTACTACTAATATTAATAATGACAATACTAATACTAATACTAATAACGATAATAGTAATAATATTAATAGTAATAATAATTATGATTATGATAATCATAATCATAATAATAATGTAACTACTACTACTACTACTACTACTACTACTACTACTACTACTACTACTACTACTACTACTACTAATCATAATAATAATAATAATAATACTAACAATAATAATAATATTAATAATAATAATAATAATAATACGAATAATAATAATACTAATACTAATAATAATAATAATATAATAATGTTAATAATAACAATAATGGCCACCGGCTGCTCACGGCCGGCACGCCGCGCGGCCCCTGCTCTCGCTGCCCTCGTGCTGGGCCGCTGGGGTGCGCGGCTCCTGGGCCCCTCGGCCCTCGGGGGCCGCCGCCCTGCGCGCTTCCTGGGGCCTAGACGGTGGGAGTGCGCAGCCTGGAGGGTTTCTCCGAAGGGCTTGGTCGACCCGTCCTCCTCCTCTCTCCTCCTCCTCCTCCTCGTCCTCCTCCTCCTCCTCCTCCATCTCCTCCTCCTCCTCCTCCTCCTCCTCTCTCCTCCTCCTCCTCCTCCTCCTCCTCCTCCTCCTCCTCCTCCTCCTCCTCCTCCTCCTCCTCCTCCTCCTCTCCTCCTCCTCCTCTCTCCTCCTCCTCTCCTCCTCCTCCTCCTCCTCCTCCTCCTCCTCCTCCTCCTCCTCCTGCTCCTGCTCCTGCTCCTCCTCCTCCTCCTCCTCCTCCTCCTCCTCCTCCACACCTCCTCCTCCTCTCTCCTCCTCCTTCCCCTTCTCGCCCTCCCCTCCTTGGGTCGCCTACGGCCCCGGGGGGGGGGAACCCGTCCAGCGCAGCCCGTCTTCCCCCGCGATCTTCTGTCAAGGGCGCCCTCGAGGGCGCGAGGTGATTCGCGCTCGGCGCCTCGCGCTGCGGCTCCGATGCCTCCTCGTCCTCCTCCGCTTCCCTGGGGGGCGGTGCAAAAGCGCGAAGTCGTTTGCGCTTCGCGCAGCGCGGAGCGCGAAGTTAGGCGCCCTTGTTTGTCAAGGGAGGAAAGAAAACCAGCTGACATTTGCTGCCGGGGAGACGTGTGTGTGACTCGAGTGCGCCAGGACTCGGGTATGCCGACGTCTTTCGGACGAGCGCGTCCTGTATTGTGACGGTCCAGGTCTCGTGGGATGTCTGCAGCGGGAGCTCGCGTGAGCACGAACGCCCTGCCGCAGACGGTCGCGCTAAGCAGAGGTCTGGAGCCAGACCCCTCGATTCCCTCCCTCCCCTCCCCCCTCCCTTTTCCGCCCAGGAGACGCCGAGACCTGCCCGATGCCCTCCCGGGGCGCGCTTGCTGGAAGGCCCCGCTCCTCGAGGGTGCGCCTGCTCTGCGCACCGATCTTCGCGCCTGCCGCGGCCCAGGCGCCCGGCCTCCACGGTGCCCTGGCTTTCTAGGGCTTCGGTGGTTTTCTGCTCCGGAAGGCGTGACGTTCCCACACCCAGGAAGGCGTGACGTTCCCACACCCGAAAAAGATCCATGGACGTCCTGGGGTCTCAGGGTCGGGTCTCTTGTGGTGGGTCGGTTGTGGCCGAGCTCGTACGGTATACTGATCATGTGTGCGTCGGCCCCGCGAGCGCGACGCGCGCGCTCGGGAATCCTGCAGCATAGAATAAAAGCTCCGTGGCGGGCGCTCTCTGGCCAGGCTGCTCGGGAGGCGGGCAGCGACACGCCGTCAGATTTGTGTACCGTATGCTCGCGCCGGACGTGCGCCTACGGCATCGGCACATCGTATCATCTTCGGGGGCTCGGAGGGGGAAGGGTTGCCCCAGGGCCCCGAGGTGGGGGGCGGGGGTGTTTGGAGCGGTGTCTCGCCAGCTTCGCCTTTGCCCCTGCCTGTCGCCCCGCCGAAGTGTGTGCTCCTGCGTCCCGCACCGCCCGGAAGGCCATCTTCAACATCGGGTCGGGCGGCCTCGTGCTGAGGGTGGTCAACTCGATCTTGGCGGGCTCAGGAGCGCGAGCCCCGTCCAGCCCTTGCCCGTGAGTCGGGGGCGGTCCAGCTGCCCCTTCTTGCAAGATTCGACGGCGCCTCGAGGGGAGAGTGAAATGATCTAGGCCTCCTGGCTAGGATCGGAGTAGATGGGGTCGGAGGGTCACGCCGCATCGCCGATGCATCGCCGATGCGGCTCGATGTGCAGCCCGATTTGCTTCACGTCGACGTCGCCGATGCATCGCCGACGTCGAAGATGCATCGCAGGTGCATCGCGGATGCATCGCGGATGCATCGCCGATGCATCCCCGATGCAGCGCGATCTTCCGACCCCATCTACTCCGACCCCATCTAGGAGGCCTGTAAGTGATTGGGAGCGAGGTTTCCCAGAGGGCGGCGGGGGATTCGGAGGAGGCCTCGCAAGCGTCTCAGGAGGCTGGAGGCCTTCTGAGCCTCCTGAGAAGGCCCGGCGCCTTCTGCCATCGCCCTTGGCGTGCCGCCGCAAGAGGTCGACCCCCTCTTGGCTCACCTTTCAGGCCCCCCTCCTCCCTCCCTCCCTCCCTCCGGCCACTTGCCCGCATCTTCGAGGGGGGGAACCAGGGGGCGCCAGTGTTGGAAAGGGGGGTCGTCACGGAGGATTGCGGCCCGTGCACGTCACGATGAGCATCGAGCTCTTTTTCCTTTGTCGTCGCAGGGGGCCGAGGAGGAGGAGGAGGAGGAGGAGGAAAAGGAGGACGAGGAGGAAAAGGAGGAGGAGGAGAAGGAGGACGGCGAGGTTGAGGAGTACGAGTAGGAGTAGGAGGCCGAGGCGGAGGAGGAGGAGAAGGACGAGGATGAGGAGGACGGCGAGGCGGAGGAGAGGAGTAGGAGTAGGAGAAGGAGTAGTAGGATGGCGATGATGCTGCTGATGATGCTGCTGATGATTCAGATGATGACGATGATGATGTTGCTGATGATGATGGTGGTGGTGATGATGATGCTGCTGTTGATGATGATGATGATGATGATGATGATGATGATGATGATGATGTTGATGCTGATGCTGATGTTGATGAGGATGCTGATGTTGATGAGGATGCTGATGATGATGATTATGATGATGATGATGATGATGATGCTGATGCTGATACTGGTTCTGATGATGATAATTATGAAAATGATGATGATGATGACGATGAGGAGGAGGAGGAAACACACGACGACGAGGAGCAGGACTAGGAGTAGAAGTAGGAGTAGGAGTAGGAATATATAGTGTGAGGAGGAGGAGGAGGACCAGTGCAAACTCAAGACGCATCAACGGTAACCGAAAACCTGGGATCATAAAGGACCCCCTGTCCCCCTCAAGCCCTGAGAGTTGATTATCCTGGACCAAGACAGAGTTTGTCGGGGGATAAGGTCGGCGAGGTCGAACTTCAATATCGCTGGGGGCAGTAATAATCGAAGTAGCGTTCTTCTTGTCCCGAGTTGGGTATTAGACAGCTTACACTACTACTACTGCTGCTGCGACTATTACTCATAACACTACTTTTACATCTTCTTTGTTTACGATTACTACTACGGCTATTATTACTACTACAACTTCTACTACTACTACTGCCATTACTACCACTGCTACAACTTCTACTATTACGATTGCTACTACTGGGGCGACCACGATTGCTATCAGTACGACTACGTCGACGACGACTACTACTACTACTACTACGACTACTACTACTACTACTACTACTACTACTATTACGACCAATATTACTTTTAGTAATACTACGACCACTACTACGATGAACACTCCTATAATTACTATTACTACTACTACCACTACCACTACCACTACCACTACTACTACTTCTACTTCTTCTACTACTACTACTACTACTGCTACTACTTTTACGACTACGACGACTACTTCTATTATTCTTAAACGCAATATATACATACTAGCATTCTGATCACTACTACGACTATTTCCACTACTCTTTCTACTGCTACTGCTGCTGGTCGTATTTCTATTACTGACGCTCTTACAATTTTCGGCTACGCCATGCTACATACTGACTGCCACGTACTACATACTGCATAACCCGTACTACATACAACAGGCGACATACTACCATTACCAGTGCTAGTACTAGTATTCGTATTAGTTCTAGTACCAATTCTACTACTACTACTACGACTACGACTACTACTACTACTACTACTACTACTATTACTACTACGATTACTAATGCTACTACCAGTGCTGCTGCTACTACTACTACTACCACTACTACTACTACTTCTACTACGACGGCTACTACTACTACGGCTATTACTACTACTAGTACTATTACGAGTACTACTACCTCTACGATTACTACTACTACGAGTACTATTAGTACTACTACCAGTGCTACTCGGACGAGTCCCCCTACGATTGTGCTACTACGGTTACTTCAACTACTACTACTACTACTTTTACTACTACTGCTACTACTACTACTACTACTACTACTACTACTACTATGGTTACTGCTATTACTAGCACGACTACTATCACTATTTACTATTCGTACTACTTCTGCTACTTTTTCCACTACTACTACTACTGCTACTACTACTACTACGGCTACGGCTAAGACGATACTTACTACTTCTGCTAGTAGTAGTAGTACTACTACTACTACTACGACTACTACTACTACTACTACTACTACTACTACTGCTATTATTACTACTACTACTACGACGACTACTACGACTACTACTACTACTACTATTACTACTACTACTACTACTGCTACTACTACTACTACTATTACTACTACTACTAACTACTAATACTTACTACTACTGCTACTACTACTACTACTACTACTACTACTACTACTGCTACTACTCGTACTACTACTACTACGACAACGATTACTACTACTACTACTACTACGACTACTACTACTACTACTACTACTACTACGACTACGGCTAATACTATTCCTACTACTTCTGCTACTACTACTACTGCTAGTATTACTACGACTACTACGACTACTGCTACGACTATTTCTACTACTACTACTACTACTACTACTACTACTCCTACTCCTACTCCTACTCCTACTGTTACTACTACTGTTACTACTATTACTGTTACTACTACTACTACTACTACTTTTACTACTGCTACTACTACTACTACTGCTACTGCTACTACTACTACTACTACTACTACTACTACTACTGCTACTACTACTACTACTACTACTACTACTACTACGACTACTACTACGACTCCTACTATTATTGCTACTACTACTACTACGACGACGGCGACGACTGCTACGACGACGACTGCTACGAGTACTACTGCAAATATCCTGTTCATTCTTTTTTTTGATTTTCCTATTATTACTCCTACTACTACTACTACCACCACTACTGCTACTGCTGCCACCCCTTCCCTTCCCGAGGAGCATCAGAGGGGTTCCGAGGCTCGGCGAGGAGAACATCACATCCTTCCTCTGACGTGCGAGTTTCCGGGGCGATGAATTCATCATCCCCTCCGAACCCAGAATGTTATTTTCCCACCTTTCATTATCAGAGATATCCGATTATTGCAAAAAACCCTTCCCTCCAAGTTCCCTGCACGTAATAATTTTCATTACGGGGTTGGCCCCATTGGAAGACAGCCGTCTGAGAATCTTCAGCATGCGAAGACGCCTTTCCTAGGACCTCAATGCCGGGGGACAATCTGGTTGTACGCCCTGGCAGTCCTGAACCGCGCTACAACACAGTTCCTGGGACTTCAGTGCCGCGATTCAACGTGATTGTTGTGTCCTGACCAACTTACCAAAACACCTCTCCTTGGACTTCAGCCATACAACCCCCTTGAACCTGTTACGCTGTTTTGAGACGCAGGTGCGCTGCCCTGCGGCGAGAGCCACATATTGAAAAGGCACCGTCCTCCAACCTTGCACTTGCTACAGTATTTTAAGACAGAGCTGCGCGGCGCAACGCGGTAGCAGCATGTGAAAATGGGCCGCCTTCCATCAAAGACATTGTTGCATTTTTTTTTTAAGACAACGGATGTGCGCGGCGCTGAGGCTGGAACTAAATTTTGAAGACGGGCCGCCCTCCATCGTTTCGTTGAATCTGTTCAAATGTTCAAGCTTCAGGGTCACACATATGGAGAAGTCTCAGGCGAAACGCCTGGTCCGCCCTACTGAAACGTCTGGGAGTGCGACAGGGACGAGTTATGGATAAGGACGCTGGGGGTGACGGCAGTCTGCATTGAGGTGCTGCGTAGCGGCAGTCGAACGACATGTTTGACCGCGCGCGTTTTGGAGTTTTTTTGCCCCGCGTCACCGTGCTCAGTAAGGCTCCTCACAGCAGCACTTTGACTCTACGATTTTCTCCTTCAGCGGAGAGTGGGGGTGGGATGGGACTGTTCGGAGCCCGGGGGGCGGGAGAGGGCGAACGGAGCGCGACCCGGGGCGGCAATCTGGAATGCTGCGGGGGGGGGGGGGGCGGTTCGGGCGGGGCAGAGGGGGGGGGGGGGAGGGGCAGGGTGCAGGCAGGGGTGCTTCGTGGGAGCCCTGCAGCCTCGTGCAGGGGCCTTCGCAGGGGCCCAGGGGGCCTTCTCAGGAGTCCCTTCTCTCTGGTTGGAGGGCTGGCCTCCCCCGCGCTCCCACCCTCTTTGCCCCGTGCGGCCAGCCTCCTTCCTCCCTCCTCTGGAGCCCTCTGCCGGCGCCTCCGTGGCCCGCCGCCCAGGGGGCAAGGTAGCCGAGGAGGCGATCTTCGACATCTTGTGGCCGATGCTGGTGCTCCTAGGGGGCTCTCTCTCTCTCTTTTTCTCTGTCTCTCTCTCTCTCTCTTTCTCTCTCTCTCTCTCTCTCTCTCTCTATATATATATATATGGAGAGGGCTGCTTGCTGCGCGTCTGCCTCTCTCGCGTTCGATCGCTCGCCTTCGCCAGGCTGCCACTCCTGGGACGCTGATTGGCATCGTCCCTGGTACAGTCGGGGCGTGCATCAAGACACTTTTCACCAGGGTACCTTGGATTTCGTCGCTGCGCGCGCTGTGCGGTGACTTCCCGCGGGCGTTTCCCCTCCCCCCCCCCCGCCCCCCCTCCCACCAATTGCACCTCCCGCGTAGGAGAACATGTTTTTCGTCGCGGCGATAACGGACGTTTGGGGGGGGAGGGGGCGTGGTCGGGGGGGGGGAGAGCATAAAGTAACGCCCCCGCCCCCCAACGTGACAGACTGGTGCCGAACGCACTGCGGCAGCGCCGGGGGACGCACTGGGGGGGGGGGAGCGTTAAGTGATGTGGGCGGGTGGAGGAGAGGGGGGAGATGGGGTATAATGTACGCGATGGCCCAGAGGGTGTAACTAACAGCACTCTCTAGGTCTTCAGGGTTGGGTTTCTTACCACGGTTTCTTGCGGCCGCGCCCGCACTGTATGTCCTTGGATTTGAACTCTGGCCTAATTTGGGAGTATTCTGGCGCAAGATCGGCTCAACCTGCGGCTTCTTTTTGGGCACGTGCTTTGGCCTGCCCTTTGGCTTAAATCGCTTCTTGAATTGGCCCCGCATGCTGGTCTTAATCGCGCCCACTCGAATGTCCCAGGAGTCGACTCCTTGCCTTCGGGGCATTTTCAGCTCTCATGCTGCATGTGAGGCCAGTGCCAGACTGTACCAATCGTTTGCTGAAAGTTTAGTTTTGGATTCACATAATGTCTTGTTCCAATAACCGAATGGTTTCCTTTGCGCTTCCTGTTAAGGGGACGGGCGGACACCTTCCTACTTCACGTTTTCACCCACCTCTTCCAAACCATGGGTGCGTAACTTCCCAGGGTGCGAGTGCACCGGCGGTACTTCCAACGTACCCCCAGTACTTCCGCACAGACATTTGCAGGATTCCACGAAACGGCCTCGAGAGCGCCCTCGCAGCGCTCCAAACACGTGCCACGATGATTCGCCCCGCTGTTGCCGTTGTGCGCCCCAAGGCCTCCAGACGCCTCGAGGCGGAAGTTCTTTGAAGCTGCGAGAATGTATGGCGGTTTCCCTTGAAATTCGCTACAGGGAGCTCAGACATCCGGCGTCTCAAAAAGTCGGAAAGAGCGCGTTTTGTGGGCGTTTGGAGGGGGGGGGGTTGGAACCAGACCCCCCCCCACCCCTTCCGTGACGGAGGGAGGGGGCGTTCGAACCCCCCCCCTTCCCTTCTCCTTCTCCTCGGGCCGGCGCCGGCGTCGGCGGCGGCTGGCGGCGGCGGCGGGGAGCGTCGATGAAGGCGACGTTTTCCTTTTCTGGGCTGGCGCCTGCGGCGGCTGGAGGCGGCGGCGGCGGAGAGCGTCGACGAGGACCACGGCGACGACGATGACGACGACGAGGACGCACCGCCACCATGCCTTGGTTTTGGGTCAAAGTCCTAATGGATGCCTCCTGGGTTCTCGTCAGAAGGCTGTCGGGGCCTCTGAAGGGCATTTGTGAAGCCTCCTGGTGTGCATTTGGGCGTCTCTTGGTGCCTCTCTGAGGTGTTGGTGGTGGTGGGCTGTGGTGCTGGTGCTGGTGGCGGTGGTGGTGGTGGTTGTGGTGGCGGTGGTGGTGGTGGTGGTGTGGTGGTTGGTGGTGGTGGTGTTGTTGGTGATGGTGGTTATTGTAGTGGTTGTGGTGGCAGGCTGTGGTGCTGGTGGTGGGTTGTGGTGGTTTCTGGTGGTGATGGTGGTGATAGTTGTGGTGGTGATGGGTTGTGGTGGTGACGGTGGTGTCGGCGGTGGTGTGGTGGTTTGTCGTGGTGGTGTGTTGTGGTGGTGCTGGCGGTGCTGGTGGCGGTGGTGGTTGTTGTGGTGTTGGTGATTGTGGTGGTTTGTAGTGTGGTGGTGGTTGTGGTGGTTGGAGGTGGTGGTGGTGGTGGTCTGGTGGTTTGTGGTGGTGGTGGTGGTGGTGTGTTGTGGTTGTGGTGGTGGTGGCGGTGATGGTGGTGGCTGTGGTGTGGTGGTTTGTGGTCGTGGTGGTAATGGCGGTGGTGGTGGTGGGGGGTTGTGGAGGTGGTGCTGGTGGTGGTGGTGGTTGTGGCGGTGGTGGTGGTGTTGTGGTGGTTTGTGATGGTGGTGGTGGCGGCGGTGGTATGTTGTTCTGGTGGTGAGGTGGTGGTTGTGGCGGTGGTGGTGGTGGTGGTGCTGGCGTGGTGGTTTGCGGTGGTGGCGGTGGTGGCGGTCGTTGTGTGGTGGTTTGTGGTGTTGTTGGTGTGGTGGTGTGTGGTGGCGGTCGTTGTGCTGGTGGTGTTGGTGGCGGTGGTTGTGGCGTCGTGGTGGCGGTGGTGGTGGTGGGTTGTGCTGGTGGTGGTGGTGGTGGGTTGTTGTGGTTGTTGTGGTGGTGCTGGTAGCTGTGGTGGTGGTGGTGGTTGTGTGGTGGTTGGTGGTGGTGGTGGTGGTGGGTTGAGGTGGTGGTGGTGGTTGCGGTGGTGGTGGTGGTGGTTGTGACGTGGTGGTTTGTCGTGGTGGTGGTGGTGGGATGTGGTGTTGGTGGTGGTGGTGCTGGTGTTGGTGGTGGTGCTGGTAGTGGTGGTGGGTGGTGGGCGGTGGTGGTGGTGGTGGTTTGTTGTGTTGGTGGTGGTGGTGTGGTGGTTTGTTGTGTTGGTGGTGGTTGGTTTTGGTGGTGGTGGTGGTGATAGTGGTTGTGGTGGTGTGGTGGTTTGTGGTGGTTGTTGTGGTGGTTTGTGGTGGTGGCGTTTTTGGTGATGGTGGTGGTGTAGTGGTTTGTGGTGATGGTGGTGGTTGTGGTGGTGGTGGGTTGTGGTGGTTGTGGTTGTGTGGTGGTTTGTGGTGATGGTTGTGGTGGTGTTGGTGTGGTGGTTTGTGGTGGTGGTGGTGGTGTGGCCTTCGGGCTTTCCCGCCACTGTGTTTTGGCTTCGGGTCAAAATTATAATGGATGCCACTTGAGGTCTCGTCAGAAGGGTTTCGGGGGCGGCTGAGGAGCATGTGTGAAGCCTCCTGGACCTTCCTGAGGGCATCTGGGTGGCTTTTGGGGACGGCGCCGAGTGCTGGGGGGGGGGTTGGGGCCCGGTTCGAAACGCGCCGCCGAATGTTCCCAAGGCAAGCGCCCGTGAAACGCGCTCTCACAAAAATCGAGGCGCCCGGTTTTTCCTCGTTTTCGGCCTCTGGAGGCTGGTTCTGGGCCCTGGGACCGTCAACGACGAGCGAGGATGAACAGCTGGCCCCGGGGGAGGTTGTTGAGAGTTCGGGGGCCCACCAGGCATCCCGGGCACACTCGCGATGGCCCCCTTCTGTGGTATCAGCGGCTGCTGGTGGCCTCCATGTATTTCCGCCCGTCGCAGAGTTCTGCCACCCACGCGGTGAGCAAACATGACGCATGAGGCACAGTCAAGACGCCGAGCTAAGGACCGCTTTGGGCCCAGGAGGTGCTCTGGTTCCTGGGCCGCTCAGTTGATCTGGATCGGGGAACCGATTCGCGGCGGGGCGAGATTGAATCATCGTGCTTTTTTATATAACAAACATTCGGCCACCAGTAATTCTTTTCTCTGCCATCGTTTGGCCGTCTCGGGTCAGCACACCGCTTCTGCGCGGTATTCGCCCATCCTGCGTTGCTAGTCTCTCGCTCGTAGCCGCTGCGCCCCGCGGGTCCGCCCTCTCGCGCACGCGCACGCGTGCCACGCTCGTCCGTTGGGTGTTCGATCGATGTCACGAACTGGCAACTAGCACCCATGCCTGTGCGACCCCTAGGTTTCTCAGGGTGGAATTCCGTTGGGGCTATGGGTGTGTGTGTGTGTGTGTTGTCGGATGGGTGTCCCCGCTGGAACGCGGGCCCTCCCTCGGGTTCCGACAACCCGCGCCCATACCTCGACCGCCTTCATTTGCTTGCCCTTTCCAATTCCTCTTCCCATTATCGGCTTGAGCGCGTGTTGTTTCTGTTTCACCCCAGGCCCTCAGAACGCAACCGCCCGGCTTCCGCGCCAGAGGTCCCTGAAGACCGCCGGAGGCCGCCGGAGAGATCCGGAGGACCGCCAGAAAACCGAGGAACCCAGACATGCGATATCATTTATTCTTTCAATACGCGGTCCCTGGAAGTCCCGACGCTCCCCCCAGAGCGTGCAGGGTTCCCCCGGGGCCGTAGGCGACCCGAGGAGGAGGAGGAGGAGGAGGAGGAGGAGGAGGAGGAGGAGGAGGAGGAGGAGGAGGAGGAGGAGGAGGAGGTGGAGGAGGAGGAGGAGGAGGGGGGAGAGGAGGAGGAGGAGGAGGAGGAGGAGGAGGAGCAGGAGGAGGCGGAGGAGCAGGAGGAGGAGGCGGAGGAGGAGGAGGAGGAGGGGGAGGAGCAGGAGGAGGAGGAGAGGAGGAGGAGGAGGAGGAGGAGGAGGAGGAGGCGGAGGAGGAGGAGGAGGAGGAGGAGGAGGAGGAGGAGGAGGAGGAGGAGGGGGGAGGGAGGAGGAGGCGGAGGCAGAGGCGGAGGCGGAGGAGGAGGAGGAGGAGGAGGAGGAGGAGGGAGGAGGAGGGAGGGAGGAGGCGGAGGCAGAGGCGGAGGCGGAGGAGGAGGAGGAGGAGGAGGAGGAGAGGAGGAGGAGGAGGAGGAGGAGGAGGAGGAGGAGGATCAGGACGTTTCGCCTAAGCCCTTCGGAGGAGCCCTCCAGGGCCCGTTTTCTCATCCCGAGTCGCTTCTCGATGCTCCCGGGGCCGGGCGGGGGCCCCCAGTCGCCGAAGGCGACGAGAAGCCTCCGTCCTGATGTCGTCGCTGCAGTCGGGTCGAGGTATAGGATCGAGGTCGTTTAAGGGAGGGCGCCCCGATGTTCTTCGTGCCTGCTGGATGTTCTCGTGCCCCCCCGGGGAGGCCGCCCTTGGGTGTTCTGTGCGTTTTGGCTGGCGGAGGGTCTCGTGCTCTCGGGAGGTGCTCTTCTGTCCTCGGTTCGACTGCACACTGGGAACCCCACGCCAGGAAACACCCCGCTGGCCTCCAGGGTGCCCTGGGTCTCTGGGGCTTCGATGGTTTTGCTGTGGGAAGCGTGACGCTCCCACCCACCCCCAGAATCGATGGACGCCCTGGGGCCTCAGGGTTGGGTCTCCTGTGGAAGGGCTCTGGTGGTCGAGCTCCTGCTGTCCGCCGCGTGTCTGGGGACCGCCAGAATCATGAGGGGAAAAAACTCAGACACAATTAATCGTCGATCCCCAAGAAAATGTAAGAAGATCTGGGAATTGGGCGGGAAGACAAAAACCTAGAACATGGGGGAAAATATGGGGAATCTTTCTATTTGTGTGTCTTTATTTGTGCGTCCCGGGGCCCCTCCACAGAAGACCGCCCCAAGGGCCGACCGCGGGGCCCGCGGCCGAGGGCGCTGCTCCTCCGCGCGCCGGCCAGGTGCAGCTCCTGCCCGCCTCGGCCGGCGTCGCGCTGGGCGTCGTGCCCAAGGACCAGGGGCAACGCCCAGGGGGCCCGGCCCCGCCTGGGTGCCCTGCCTCCTGCTTCCTCGGCCCCGTCGCTCTCTTCCACGTCTCGATGCTTCGGTCGTCCTCTGCTCCTCTCCTCCTGGGGGGCCGAGGTTCTTGTCGCCGCCGCCGCCGTCGAAGCCAGGGGGGGGCGGGGCGCGCTCCCCGGGCGCGCGGTGTGGCGGTGAGACGTTGTGTTTGGCGCGGAACGTCAGAAACGTCAGGGGGGGGGCCTGGCTCTGGCGGGTCGGCCACGTGCGGAGGGGATGCTTTTGAGAAGCGCCCCTGCTGCTTGGAAGGCGCGGGCCGTATCTCTAGATGTGGGGCCTGCGACTTCCAGGAAGCAGCCTCCTCCTAAGAGGAAGCCTTCCCCCCTCCTCCTACCCCCTTGTGCGCGCCGCCAAGGGGGCTCTTGGCACCGCTCGGGCGTGTCCACTTGTTCTCGGCAAGGGCCATCGAGGAGCATGTGAGGCCATCTGATGAAAAATACACGCGCGAATCCGGAAAACGCACGGGTAATGGACGTTCGAGCGATGGCCAGGGCTGGGTGGGGAAACATCGGCTTGCAATCGGCGATACGTCGCCGTTAGATCGGCGACCGGCCCCCGCCAGCAAATCTCAACGTTCCTGGGCGGGGTGTGACTGTCAGATCCCCGTGGGCGATCCACGGGCGATTGGAGTCGATGCGTTCCCCCCCTTGAGCTCATTCTCGAAGGGCCAAACACAACATAGAGATCAACTTTCGGAGGTCCGCGCCGTCGCCAGAGCCCTCTGGAGGAGGAGGAGAAGGAGGAGGAGGAGGAGGAGGAGGAGGAGGAGGAGGAGGAGGAGGAGGAGAAGGAGGTCCGCGCAGGTTTCTCATTCCTCCCGGGCGCCGCCCCTGGCGCGCTCCGCTTCGGCGCCGATCCGAGGCGTCCGCGCGGACCTCCGAGAGCGAACGCTCGTGCAGCTCTTTGCTGCGCTGCTGGGCCGGGCCGCCCCCTATCTCAGGAGGGAACAAAAACACACACACAGACACAATCAATCGTCGATTCCCCAGAAAATATAGGAACATATGGGAAGTGGGGGGGAACATATGGGAACATATGGGAAGTGGGGGGGAGGACAAAAACCCATAAAATATGGGGAAGTATGGGGAATCTGGTTATTTGTGTGTATGTGTTTGTGTGTCCTGGGGCCCCTTCACTACCGTTGCACCCGAGAGGACGAGGGCGACGTCGGCATCAAGATCGCGCTGGAGGCCCGCGCCGCGGTCTTCAGAGGGGCCCCGTTGGCCGGCGGCGGGCGCGGCTTCGGAGCGCACCGCTTGGGGGGCCCCCGCAGGGCGCGGTGACCACACCGTTCGGGTGAGTTCTCGAAGGTTTTCGCACGCTTTCGTCGATTGGTGTGTTCCATTCCTCCTCCTCCTCCTCCTCCTCCTCCTCCTCCTCCTCCTCCTCTTACTCCTCCTCCTCCTCCGCAGTAGCTGCGCCTCGCCGAGAGCGTTCCGGGGGGTGCCTGGATCGTCCCGAAGGGCCGTTGGAGAGCCGAGTCACGACCCGAAAGCCAGCGCGTCCTTCCAACGTTCCGAAAGGGGGTCCAAGTATCGGAGGTGGACAGACCTCCTACCCTGAAATGTTGATTAGTGAATTGTCAAATTTCGGTTCTCGAGAGGGCGCCGCGGCCGTCATTTTCCAGGCTTGCGCCCGCCAGGTTTGGGCCCGAGGTCGTTTTCACTAAACCACGTTCTACTAAAGGGGGGTCTGTCCAGCCCCGAAAGGAGATGGTGTCGCAGAGTCGCGCCGCATCGACGAAGCATCGGCGATGCGGCTCGGTGTGGAGCCCGATGTTCTCCACGCCGACGTCGCCGATGCACCGCCGAGGTCGCGGTCGCATCGCGTCCAGGAGGGGGGCGAGGGCCAGGGGTGTAGACATGACTGCTGGGGCCCGTGGTATCTCCCCAGGTTTCCTGGCCCCCTTCTCTTTCAGCACGACCCCGGGCCCGCTCCCATTGCCGCACATGCCTCGGGCCACGACTGCGCACCCCCCTCTTGTGCGCCCCCCTCCGGGACACGCCCCCAGCGAGCGCCTCGCCCCGACCTGCAGGGGGGGGGGGGTCGGAGGCTCCTGGCAGCGGGGCCTCACGCTTCGGGCCCCGACGCCGATCCAAGGAATCCGCGCGGACCTCCGAAAGTTTACGTGTGTGTCGTCGGCGTCTTCTTCTCCTGGTTCCGAGGACACCTGCGGCGAGTCACCGCCGCCCCCTGCCTGTTGGAAGCGCCGATGTGGCAGAACTCTGTGGCCAGCGCTTTGGAAAACTATCGGACAAGGTGCTCCCCGAGGCGTAGTGGACCCCCCGCGAAATATTTTTCGGGAGGATGAGGGAGGGAGAGCATCAGGAGAGGGCGGATGCTGATGCTGATGCTGCTGATGCTGCTGATGATGAGGAGGAGGATGAGGACGATGATGATGATGATGGTGGTGATGATGATGGTGATGATGATGCTGCTGCTGATGATGCTGATGCTGCTGATGATGATGCTGATGCTGCTGCTGATGATGATGATGGTGGTGATGATGATGGTGGTGATGATGATGCTGATGATGATGCTGCTGATGATGATGCTGATGCTGATGATGATGCTGATGATGATGATGCTGATGATGCTGATGATGGTGATGGTGGTGGTGATGATGATCATGATGCTGCTGATGATGATGATGGTGATGATGATGATGATGTTGCTGATGATGATGATGATGATGATGATGATGATGATGATGCTGATGATGATGATGGTACTGATGCTGATGCTGATGCTGATGCTGATGCTGATGCTGATGCTGATGATGATGATGATGATGCTGCTGTTGTTAATGCTGCTGATGATGATGAGGAGGAGGAGGAGGGTGAGGAGGAGCAGGGTGAGGACCAACGTTATCAGCGAAGGTCAATGCCGTGTTGGCTCAAGGTCAAGGTCATGTTGGCTCGAGATCTGCGCAGCTTGGCTGGGCCATGCTCGGCTCTGGCCGCCGTGGAGCCACACATGCAAGGATCTTAGCTTAAGTCGGGTCGGGCCTGTCCCTTCACAAAAATCAACAGATAGTCAGGTGACGCGTTTTTGAGTATGTTTGACTATTTCGAGTATTGTTGGACAATTTGTATCGTGCAAAATCCGCCTGTAGGAGGACATGACCGACCTAATGTTAGGCATCACGCGAGGATCTCGAGGAGGCGCTGCTTCTTTTGAAGCGCTACTCGAGCAGTGTGGCCGAACGAAACAATGGAGTGCAGCATTTCAGTTGGTCGTCGTTTTTTTTCTTTATTGTTTTGCCGATCGGCGCGGGCCCTTGCACCCCCCCTCCCCCCCCCCTGGAGTGGATCTTGGCGTTTTTTGGCGCCTGTTTCCAGCAGGTGGAGCCTCTCCCCCATAGGACGCACCGTCGCAAACAGTCGCGCTAAGCAGAGGTCCAGAGCCAGACCCCCCCCTCCCCCCCCTTTTTCCGCCCAATGTCGAAACGCCGAATAAAAGAAAACGCTCACCATTTTTGCTGCTCCGCGCAGGAGTTCAATCAGCCATTGTGGCTCGAGCCAGTTGGCTCAAGCTGGCTCAAGCCTTTTCTCGCATTCCCTCCAGCCAGATCCATCCTTCTCCTGCCGCCATGGCAGCGATTACTGCACACAGAGTGTGCCTCGGCGAGGCCTGGCCTCCGAGAGGCGGCGCATATGTTTGCGGTCTCGAGGAGGAGGAGGCAAAGTAGGAGGAGGTCGACGTGGATGCTGATGCAGTGGTAAGACATCCTGGAGCCAGAAGTTGCAATACGCGCCGGCATCGAGCGAGAAAGGAGAAGAGGCTAGCTACGGAGCAGGTTGCACATTAGACCCGTGACGCCACCACCTAAACTCATTTCACAGGAGGCCCAATGCTGAATGAGGACACGCTGCAGACACATATTGATCGAGTTATTGCTCCATTCTCCATTCGCTTCGCGGCTTGCGGAGATGGAGCTGCACCAACGTCGTTTTAAGAGGGCCTCGCTACTGCCAAGAGCACTGAGGCGGGTCTGAGGAGAGTGCGATGAACCAAGGTTGCGGGCGATTACGTTCAAAGGACAGCCGGGCGAGATACAGTTCCAGGAGCTCGGGGGTCGCCGTCGGCATCCTCAGAGGGCAGCCGAGATGTTGGACAACACGATGGAATCCTTGCTGAAATCCGGCATGCACTGGGCCTCAAGCTGCCGCGCGAGGCCTGCAGCATTTTCCTCGTACAGTGGATGCCCATGCCAAGAAACACCCTGCTCGCCTCCAGGGTGCCCCGGGTTTCTTGGGCTTCGATGGTTTTGCGATGGAAAGCGTGACGTTCCCACACCAACAATCAATGGACCTCCTGGGGTCTTAGGGTTGGGCTTCTTGTGGAAGGTTTCTTGTGGACGGGCCCCTACCGTACATCCCACGTGGATCCAGCATACACTGGGCCTCAAGCTGCGGCGCGAGGCCTGCAGCATTCTCAACACATCACTATGCCATCCGGTCGATGGAAACAATTGCTGAACACCCCCCTCACCCCCAAACTCAAAGTTGTCACGCGCGGGGGAGACTGCGGTCGAGGTGCACCTCATCAGACCCACCGCCGACTTTGAACATTGGGGGGGGGAGGAGGAGGCGTTGTCAGCTGAATGTGGAATGAGTGTTCGCTACTTTTTTCCGAGGCCTGTCTCCCACCTCGTCCGTCCTCCCCGCCTCCCCCCGCCCAGACCTGACCGACGCCCCCCAGTCCGATGGGCCCGGCGGCGCACACGGGCCCACGTCGGCGCGGGCGGGCGGTGCCGATCGGCCCGTGTCCGACCTCGCGCAGCGCGGGAGCGGCTCTCCTCGACTAGTAGTCGAGGAGAGCCGCTCCCGCGCGTGGTCACTACTCGCGTAGTCACTACGCGCGTAGTCACTACGCGCGTTCCTCCGGCGAAAGGTCCATCTTGCGCGTAGTCACTGCGCGCAAGATGGACCTTTCGCCGGAGGAGCCTTTGGTGCGGGCCCAGTAAGGTCCCCCGACGGCCGACCGCGATGCGGCAGTGGCGTCCTGCGCGCGCTCGCGTTCGGTCCCCCCCGCGGCCCCCCGAAGGCCGCGCAGCAGAGGCCGCCCTTGCCCAGGGTCGCTCTTGCGCGTAGCCGATGCTCCCCCGAGAGGTCTCTTTCAGACGGGCGAGGCTCGACCGGGCGCGACTGGAACGACGGAGCAAGGAAAAACACAGAAGCATAAACTTCCGACGCTCCGCGCGGATCTCTCGGATTCGCGCTGGGGCCCCCTGGCGGCGTCTCCGGCGCCGCCCCTGGCGTGCGGAGCGCGCCAGCGCGCCGATCCGAGAAAGCCGTGCGGACCGTCGACAGTTTATGCTTATACAGTCGGGGCACTGAGGAAGGAACCCTTTTCGTTGGGGAGGGGCTCGGTGTTCCTTAGTTATTTTGCAGTTCGCCTTTGGTTTTGCTCAGGGCTTCGATGGGGAATCGAAGTTAAACACTTATGGGAGAAAGAGGCCTCGTTCCTTAATTTAGGGTTCCTTAGGTCGACGCCCCTTCTGCATGCTCTTTTTCTTTTTTATGAACGACGGAAGAGCAGGGGATCGATTGCGCCGACATGCGCGCGTGAGCTTCCCGTGCAAGGCCGCGCCGGAGCGCCCTCCCGTCCACGCGGTCGGTGCGCCACGCCGGCGGCCGGCGGGCGCCGCGGCGGAGGGTCGCGCCCTGTTCTCGTGCGAGGGGCGCACTTTCTGTCGTCGCGTGCGCTGACGAGCCAACCACACACACCCATACCCATAGGGGGATCGGAGAGGGCTATGGGTACGTGTTGTCGGAGGGGGGTCCCCGCTCGAACGGGAGCGTTCCCCAGGGTCCGACAGCCCGCACCCATACCCATAGCCAGTCCTCCTCCCAACGACCCCCGTGTGGGTATGGGTGCGTGTTGTCCGTTCGTCATGCTTGGCAGCTTGAAGCGTCCAAGGCCCATCGGAAGCGAAGAAGCAATGAGGCAAAAGCCGCGGAGAGGGCTCCTTCGTCTTCGAATGATGTTGGCTTCTCGGGAACGTCCTTGGGAGGCTCCGCACGGCGTTTCTGGTGACTCTTGGAGTCATGCTGGAGGCCACCTTGAGCTATGTTGTGCCACATGGTCGGCCATCCTGGGTTATCTGAAGCCCTCTCTTGGGGCCATCTTAAGTCATCTTGGGCGCTCTAAGCCCGTCGCTGCACCTCCCTCCAGACCGACCTCCCTCTGGACGGCAGTGCGGGGCCCTGTCCGGAGGCGTGGTGCCAGACCCCCGCGGCGCACTCGGTGAGCAACAAGAACGAGAAGCGGCTGTGCCCAGGCCACCTCATGCAGGTGAAGGCCAAGGCCGCGGGCTGCGGGGGAGGGGGAGGGAGTACACCAGCCACGCGCAGAGGGGGGTGGGGGAGGGGGGAGGGCTTCCTAGAAGCACCGCTGCTTATCAGAACGGGCGGGCCTCATCTGTAGATGCAGCGCCGGCGCCTTCTGAGACGCAGCCGTCTTCTGAGAAGCCTGCTTCCTTCGCTTCTCCCTCTTGCGCGCGCGCCGCCAAGTCCGAAGGATTGCAAAAAGGATTGCAAACATGTTTTTTTGCAATCCTTAGTCCGAAGGATTGCAACAAGGTTTTTTTGCAATCCTTCATTGCAAAAAAGGTTTTTTTTGCATTGGGTTGAAATGAGAAACGCCTTTGGCTTGGGAGTAGCCTCCATTTCCGAGCAGTCCCTCGGGCAGCCGTAGGGGAATCTTCTCGTACTATAGAGGGTTCGCGGCGGCCATGAAGGCCCATTCGTTATTTCTTCATGGCTCCTCATGGCAAGACGATGATCAGGAGGGAAAAAACACACAGACACAATTAATCGTCGATTCCCAAGAAAATATTGGAAAATATGGGAATTGGGTGGGAAGACAAAAACCCAGAAAATATATAGGAAAATATGGGGAATCGTTTTATTTGTGTGTATTTATTTGTGTGTCCCAGGGCCCCTTCAATGTGAGCGGCTGCGTCCATCGTTCTCCGTTGGCTTTCTCTGTCGTGCCGGGGAGGGTTGGGACCTCTTGCGACACGCAGTGCTCGACGAGAGCTTCGGAGGACGGTGCTGCCCCGAGCGTCTTCTGCTCCCCAGAGGTGCCCCCCCAGGGTGCGGGTTGTTGCAGGCCACACCCTTTGCAAACCACACCCCTCGGAGTCGCCGATTCGTCTTCGCCGACATTGTCGCGTAAGCTGCCCGCGTGCGGTCGCGCGCGAGCGCCCTCGTTTCCACTGGAGTTCCGCGCTGGCGGCCCTCGTACGCCGCGGCGTGGGGTCGCTATATGCCATCTCGCGTAAGGCCCGTTTAGTTTAGTCGCTCACATGGCGTATGTCAGGTGCAGCATTCACGCAATACGTTCAGGCGTTCATAACAGATACGAAGCTTCATACAGGTGAGGTACAGGGAGACTTACATGGCGGCCTCGGCATCTCGAACCTACACTCAGAAACCATGTATTTGTTTGTTTCCGTTCGTGTGTAGATGTTTTGATGGACTCAGGCCCGTGCCGTCGATTGCGGACGCTCCTGGTGTTTGAGGGCCGCAACCGCGTAGCGAGGAGCAAAGAGGTTTAGGTTCGAGGTATTCGGAGATCTGCGCTTTCGCTCCCGAGCAATCCCAAGTCAGACCATTCACCTCTGTCCTAGCAGCTCGCGAGGCGGCGCCTCTTGGGGCCTGTTGGTTCCCTTTGGGGGGCTTCTTGGTGTCTTTTTGGGTGCCTCGTGGAAGCCTCGCGGGGCCCCATGGGGGCGCCTCGGGAGTCTCTTGGGGTCTTTGGGTGGCATCTGAGGTTGGAGGGCTCGAAGGATCGATCAGTTTGAGTCCTCCTCTTGGGCCCCTCTTGGGGCCCGTCTTACGGGCCTCTGGGGGTCGCCTCAGGGGGCCTGCCTTGCTATCTTGGGACCCTCTTGGGCCCTCTTGGGGGCCTCGTGGGCTGTGTAGGGGCGGTCTTTGGGGGCTCTTGGTCCGTTCTTGGGTGCTCTGACGGCCGAAACGACGATATTGCGAACATCATGTCCCTTACTAGGCATTTGGCAGATGTTGGCCTCTTGGGGCCTTCCAGTGGTCCTCTTGGGGCCCTCCTGAAGCCTCTCGGAGGCCTCTTGGGCCGTCTTGAGGCCACCGTGGGCGTCCTGGAGCGCTCTTGGGCTGCCTCGTGCGCCTCTTGGAACGTCTTGGTGGCCTTCTGGGCCTCTTCTGGCCCGTCTTGTTGAGCTTTGGGAATTTAGTGTCCCCCCCTCCCTACTCCAGTAGAGCCACCTCAGCAGACCCCCTAGCAGAGCTGAGGCTTAACTTGTAGTTCCAGCAGGCTTGGAGCCAACATTTAGGCTCTTAACAAACGAACGCGCCGCATCCGCGGATGTGTTTCTTGTCAAAGTTGTGGAGTCGCCGCGCGTGTTCTATTCGACAACCAATTTGAAACGTTGTAGTCCCCATAACGTTTTGCTGGCAGTGGTCGTTGCAGTTGTGTTGGCTGTTGTACTGGTGGCCCCCATCCCTCGGTATTCTCTCTCGTTCAGTTCCCCCCAGTGCACGACCTATCTTTTGTTCAGTTTCGGTTGTTGTCGAGTGAGTTGTCGTTGTATTTTGATATCGTCGTTTGTTCTAACCATGCTTCTGTAGGTCTGTACGACAGCACAGGATCTACACTCTCCCGGTTTTGACCTAGTTCTTCCCAACCCTCATGTGTTGGGTTTGCGTTTTGAGCACAACCGCCTTCCCACTCTCTCTTCTGCCTCCTGCTTCTTAGCTCCTCGATGTCCCTCGCAAGCCGCGAACTGCGAAGCTGTCGCCACTTTCATGGGCTCCTGGGAGGGCCAGCGACGTGACGTCATGCTCGGACCAGATGAGGCCTCGAAGTCCCCAGGGGTCTGCGAACTTCGAAGCAGTCGTCATTTTCGTAGGCCCATGGGAGGCCCAATGAAGTCACGCCATACCCGGATCAGATAAGAGCTCGCCGTCGTTGGGCGGGCCGCGAGTTGCGAAATTGACGCCGCTTCCGCAGCTCCTGGGCCGGGCGGGCCAGCGAAGTAACGTCATCCGCGGATCAGAACAGACCTCGGCGCTTTTGGGTGGGCCGCGAGTTGCAAAACTGTCGCTACGCTCGTGAGCTAGAGGGGGGGCCAGCGAAGTGCCGCGGATCAGATCGTAGCTCGCTGTTGTTGGGCTGACTGCGAATTACGCAACAGCCGCCACTCTCGTGAGCTCCTGGGAGGGCCAACGAAGTGACGGCATACCCGGATCAGATCAGACCTCCCCGCTTTTGGGTGGGCCGCGAATTGCGCATCTGCCGCCGCTTTCGTGAGCTCCTGGGAGGCCAGCGAAGTGTCGTCATACACGGATCATATGAGACCTCGCCGTTTTTTAGTTGTTTGCGATTTGCGTTTTATGGCATGGTCGCCGCTTTGGTCAGATCATGCCTTTTGTGGCTCCCATTTGCCCCCCTTTTGGATCTTCGAAGGATGCAAGTGGAGCGATGTTCGACTCAGGATCGCGGAACGCAGACATCATTGACGCACATCCAAGGGCAATCAATGTTCTTGGCCTCCCGAGGCCCTGCTGTCGGCTGCGTGCCAGGGGGGGCGTGAGAATGAGGAGGCCTTCTCAGAAGGCGGCGGGGCATCTCAGAAGCACTGGGGCCTTAAAACTTTTCGGAAGGCTGCAGGCCTTCTGGATGCCTTCCGAGCCGTCTGAGAAGGCCCGCCCCGTCCGGCTTCCCCGCCGGGCTCTCCGCCAATCCCCGGAGATTGTCTCGCGGGTGCCTTGGAGGCCTCTTGGGGCCCCCAGTGTGCCTGTGTGGTCTTCTTGCGAGGGAGCTGTCTTTGGCCGCTCATGAGGCTATCGTCGGCTGTTTCGGCCGCCTCGTGGCCTGCCTGGGCCAAGGTGGAAGCCGGCTGGGGGGCATCTTGGACCTGGCCCGCTGGAGAGCGCCAGAGAGGCGTCGGGAGTCCGGGATCTCTCGGGAAGAGGGCGACGATGCAGGTCGCCTGGCGTGACGCGGGCGGCGGGGGGGGGCCTGGGAGAGGGCAGAGGCGCCACCAGACAGCACCTGTCGGGCGATCGCACATATGGATCAAGGGGGCGTGGATTGGCGGCGGGGTCCCGCTTCCACGGGACATCGCGGATTTCCGCCGCCGAGCGAGGCGGCATAGGCCGCATTTTGGCGAGGGCACCTCCCCCGATCCATGTCTGCGCGCCCCCGAACCTGAGCGACAGCAGCACACGTTTTCGCCTGCGCCGACACCCGCGCGTGATGGCTGCCCGCGTAAAGTCGCGCGCGAGCTCCCTCCTCTCCACTCGATGTGCCGCGCCGGCGGCCCCCGCGCGCCGCGGCGCAGGGTCGCCGTGCCACCTCGCGCGAGGCGCCCCAAGAGAGGCCCCCAGGCGGCCCAAGACAGCCCCGAGACGGCCGAAGAGAGCCCGAGAAAGCCTCGGGAGGGCAGGGGCCCCCCAATGCGGCCATGCCGGCCCAAAGGCGTCCAAAGATGGCCCCCAAATGGCCGCAGGACGGCCCATAGGGGCTCCGAAGAAAACTGGGGAAACCCGAAGAGACCCTTCTGGAGGCACAGCTCGTATATTGATTGCTATTGTCGTTTCTAACACACCCGCCATCTTGGCACTCAGAACTTCCACGGCGGCCCAAGGGATCTCCAAGATGGCCCCAGAGACGCACAAGAGAACCTGCAGTGCGGACCAACGCGGCCAGAGAGGGGTCAGAGACAGCCCGGGAGGGCCCACATATGGCCCCTGAAAGGGCTCCAGCCAGACCAAGACGGCGCCACCAGCCCCCAGATTGGGTCCAGACATCCCCAGGATACCCTCATGTCGGCCCTTGTGGATTTCAGACGGCACAAGAGGGCCGCGAAGTGGCCCTGCAGGCCCCCAAGGCTGCTTCAGAACGGGACCAAGAGACGTGGAACAGGGGCCCATGTGCAACCCGTGATTGGTACGGCGACGGTCGGGTAATCATGTGGTTGCATGTTGTCCCAGGTTCGCGCGGCGCTCGCAGCACACGTCAACAAAGGACGCAAAAACGCGCGCACACCACGCACAATCGCACGCGCAAGCACGCACACACGCACGCACACAAACACACGCACACACGCACGCACACAAACACACCCACACACACCCACACGCACACACCCACATCCACACCCACACCCACACCCACACCCACACGCACACGCATACGCACTTGCACAGGCACGCGCACACGCACACGCACACGCACGCGCACGCGCACACGCACACGCACACGCACAGGCACACGCACACGCACACGCGCACGCACACCCTCACCCACACGCAAGCGCATGCGCGCACGCTCGCGTTCACGCACGCACGCACGCACGTACTCACGCACGCAAGCACGCACGCACTTACGCACGCGCGCACGAACGCACCCACGCACGCACGCACGCGCGCACGCACGCACGCGCGCGCGCACGCGTGCACGCAGGCGCGCGCGCATGCACGCACACGCGCACGCACGCACGCACGCACGCGCGCACGCGCGCAGTCACGCACGCGCGCGCGCACGCACGCCACGCGCGCACGCAGATGCGCACGTGCGCACGCGCGCGCGCGCGCACGCACGCGCGCACGCGCGCACGCTCGCGCGCGCGCGCCTACGCGCGCGCGCTTGCGCTCTCGCACGCGCGCGCGCGCACGTGCGCGCTCGCGCACTCACGCGCGCGCGCATGCGCGTGCGCACGCGCGCGCACGCACGCCGGCGCGCATCCGCGCGCGTGGACGCGCGCGCGCATGCGTGCGCATTCACGCGCGCACGCACGCGCGAACGCGCGCGCGCGAGCGCACGCGCTCGCGCAAACGCACATGCACACAACACACACGAACACACCAACACGCCAAGACACCAACGCACCAACGCACCGCGGCAGCAGACAACCAACGCACAACACACCAACACACCAAGATACCAAGGCACCCACACACCAACACATCTACGCACCAACGCACCGACACACCAACACAGCAAGACACCAACACACCCACGCACCAACGCGCCAACGCACCAACGCGACGGCACCAGCGCACAAACACCAATGCACCAGCACACCAACACAACCACGCACAAACACACCAACACAAAAATGCACCAACTCACCAACACACCAACGCACCAACACACTTACACATCAACATACCAACACACCAGGACACCAACGCACCAACACACCAACGCACCAACGCACCAACGCATCACCGCACCAACACACAAACACACAAACACACCAACAAACCAACGCACCAGCACACCAAAACAACAACACATCACACACACGCACCAAACACACCACGCACACCACGCAGACCACGCAGGCCACGCTCACCACGCACACCACACACCACACACACACCGCACACCACTCACACCACACACCGCACACACCAGACACACCTCACACCACACACACCACGCACCGCGCACGCCACGCACACCACGCACCACACACACCACCCACGCCACACACACACACCACGCACGCCACACACGATACACACCACACACACCACCGATCACGCACGCCACATATACCGCACACACCGCGCAGCACCGTTACACCGCGCACACCACACACCGCGCACGCCGCACACATACCTCACACGCCACGCACTGCGCCCACCACGCGCACCGCGCACAACGCACGCACACACACACACACACCACACGCCACGCACACCACACACATTCCACACACCACACCACGCACACCATACACCCCACACACCACATGCACCACACTCTCCACGCACCGCACACTCCGCGCACCACACGCATCACGCACACACTACGCACACCAGACACACCACACACTCCACGCAGCACACGCGCCACACACCACGCACACCACACGCACCACACGCACCACACACCACACACAGTACACACACACGCACCGCACGCACGCACGCGCGCACAGGCACGCGCACTCCCGCACGGACACGCACGTGCGCGCACGTCCGGACGCACGCGCCCACGCACGCGCGCGCGCGGACGCGCGCGCACGCGCACATTCTCGCGCGCGCGCGCGCACGCACGCGCACGCGCACACGCGCGCGCACACGTACGCGCGCACGCGCACGCGCGCGAGCACGCGCGCTCGCGTGCGCCTGGACGCGCGCTTGCACTCGCGCACGCGCGCGCGCGCGCCCGCGCGCGCGCGCCCGCGCCTGCGCGCGCGCACGCCCGCGCTCACGCCCACGCTAACGCCCGCGCCCACGCCCGCGCTCACGCGCGCGGACGCGCGCGCGCGTGCACGCGCTGGGGTCGCGAGCTTGCGTCACGCGCACGCGCGCAAGCAAGCGCAAGCGCACAGACGCAAACGCACGCACACATGCACGCGCGCACGCGCACACGCAAGCGCACACGCACACGCGCACGCACACGCGCACGCACGCACGCACACGCGCACGCACGCGCACGCTCACGCGCGCACTCACACGCACGCGCGCACGCACGCGCACACGCACACGCACACGAACGCGCACGCGCACACGCGCACTCGCCCGCACACACTCGCACGCGCACGCGCGCGCACGCGCACGCGCACGCGCGCGCACGCACGCGCGCACGCGCGCATGCGCACGCACGCGCGCGAGCACACGCGCGTGCCCATGCGCACGCACGCGCCCGCGCACGCGCGCTCACGCACGCGCGCGCACGCGCGCGCACGCGCACGCGCGCGCACGCACACGCATGCACACGCATGCGCACGCGCACATTCAGGAGCACTTGCACACGCACGCGCACGTGCGACCGCTCGCGCACACACGCGCGCACGCGCGCGGGCGTTCGAACATGCATGCACGAGCGCGCGCACGCGCGCACGCGCGCGCGCCCCCACGCGCGCGCGCGATCACGCGCGCGCACGCACGCGCACGCGCGCGGGGACATGCGCACAAACACGCACGCGCGCACACACGCGCACGCGCACGCCCGCGTGCACGTGCACACTTACGCGCGCACGCACGCGCGCGCGCTCGCGCACACGCGCGCGCACGCGCGCAAGCACACGCGCACGCGCTCGCGCACGCACGCGCACGCGCACGCGGACACGCGCACGCGGACACGCGCGCGCACGCGCACACTCGCACGCACGCGCACGCACTCGCGCACACACGCGCGCACACACGCACACACCACGGCAGCCACGCCCCCCCCCCCCCTACACACACCCACACACGCACACGCCCACGCACACCCGCGCACCCACGCGAACGCCCACGCCCGCATCCACGCCCAAGCCCACACCACACCCACGCGCACACCCGCACCCGCGCCCACAAGCCTGCGCACACCCACGCACGCGCGCGCGCCCACGCACGCCCACGCGCGCCCGTGCACGCCCACGCACCCACATACCCACGCACCCACACCCACGCACCCACGCACCCAGCACTCACGCACCCACACGACACACCCACACACCCATACACCCACGCACCCACGCATCCACTCGCACGCGCACATACACACACTCACGCATCCACGCCCCCACGCCCCTCCAAAACCCACGCCCCGCACACCCACACACCCACCACCCACCCCACACGCCCACGCACCCACGCACCCACACCCCACACACCCACGCACCCACACACACCCACACACATCTACACAACGCACCACGCACCCACACACACACACACCACACACCCCCACACACCACACGCGCACAACCACACACCCAACACCACGCACTACACGCACCCACGCGCACACGCCACACGCACCCACACACCCACGCACCTACAACCCACGCACCCACACCCACACCCACGCACGAACCCACGCACCAACGCGCCCACATACCCACGCACCCACACACCCACACACCACGCACCACACGCCCACACGCCCACACACCCACGCACACACCCACACCCACGCGCACACACACCCACGCACCCACGCACCCACGCACGCACCCGCACACCCACACCCACACACCCACCCACCCACACACCCACGCACCCACAAACCCACGGACCAACGCACCCATGCACCCACACACCCCGCCACGCCCCACCACACCCCACCACGCCCCACCACGCCCCACCACGCCCCACCATGCCCCAGCACGTCACACCACGCCCCACGACGCCACACCACACCACACGCACACATGCACACACGCACGCTCGCACACACGCATATATGCACACACGCACACACGCACAAACGCGCGCGCATGCACGCACGCGTGCGCGCGAGCACTCTCGCACGCACGCACGCTCGCACGCACGCGCGCTCGCGCGCACGGGAGCGCTCGCGCACTCGCGCACTCGCACACTCGCGCACCCGCGCGCTCGCGCTCTCGCGCGCTCGCGCTCTCGCGCGCTCGCGCTCTCGCGCTCCCGCGCACTCGCGCTCCCGCGCACTCGCGCACTCGCGCACTCGCGCACTCTTGCACGCGCGCGGATCGCTTGAACCACATTCATGATTTTCGAGCTGTTTCTGCTGGTCCGCTGGCCTTGGAGCGGGCTGCAAAACACCCAAAGGGTGGAACACATGGCAGTCTCGTTTGTTTCCGTTCGGGCAGCCGCAAACCTGGGATTAGGACGCTCGGGGGGATGGAAGTCGCGCGAACGCCAGGTGGAGACCAAGGCGCACGTGCGGGCAATGCCCGTCCTGGAGAAGATGGGCGAGAAGGCGTCGGACCCCGTCGAACCGCTCTGGGGCCCAGACGTCCAACGGCCCAGAGACGCCCAGCTACTTGCCGTCTGTTTCGGCCTCCCTGCTCGTGGGACCATCAACGAAAACGGTCTGGGATCGAAAAGCGGGCACCGGGGAAGCGATCGATTACGATGCAATTCCTGGGAGGTTGAATTCAGCACTGGCGCAGGTATATTCTCGGTCGAGAACCAGTCTGAGCAGGCACATTTAGAACCCGCTGAATCAGCCCAGGCTTAATCTGGCCGGCTCTGGCTCCATGGCCCATCAATCGGGCTTAGTATCCAGTAGTCGTTTTTACGAGCACCTCCCAGGGGCTGCTTCCTACAATTCCGAGAAACCAAAGGCAAGTTTCTACCGTTCTCCCTCGCCCATTTCGCGGACGGTCGAGAGAGGCCCAGAGGGGGCCCAGGTCCGGTGAAAAATAGTCGGGCCGCCCGACGTCCTCGTGGGGCGAGGTCTCCTGGAGCTATCTGGATGTGGCGCCTGGGCGGTGCTCCGCCATCACGGACACCGCTGGGCGGAGTTGGGCTCGGGGTGGGGGGGTGGGGGACCGGTTCTCGGAGGTTCTCGAGCCCCGGGATGCCTCGGCAACGTGAGGGGGGGACGATCATACCCATGTGGAGTTTGCGAGTTTTTGGTGGTTTTCGTAACGTTTCGAAGGCCGGGGTGGTTCTCATCAGCTGCGCCTCGTCGAGAGTTTTCCAGGGGTGCTTGGGTCGCCCCGAACGGCCGCCAGAGAGTCGAGCTAGGACCCGAAAGCCAAATTTGCAACGTTGGGGGGGATGGGCTCAGGGGGGATGCATCGACCATTGATGGCCCATTGATCGCCGATGGGGGCCAGATAGCCCACCCCGCCCAGGAGGGTGCGGTTTCGCCATCGGGAGCCCATCGCCGATTTCTTGGCGATGTGCCACCGACAATTTCAGGTCGATGTTTCCCCCTCCTGAGCCGACCCTCGTGGATTCAGCACCGACGTTGGTCTATCCGTGGTCGACAACCAGCCGGATCTGGCATACTCCCGTTCAATTATGCTGAATCCCGCTGAACCCTGATGAGTGCTCTGGGCTAATCTGGATTTGTGGGCCCTTCATTGTCCTCGTTGCCCCAGTTCTTTCTCGCGAAGACCTCTCCGAAGTTGCTTCCTGGCGCAGGGAGCCGTTCCAAGCCTCGAGATGGCCGCGCGGATTTCAGGAATCATCCAAGAAATCCGCGCGGATCTCCGAACGTTTACAGTCGAAACCGATGGTAAGGATGGATAAATTTCCCAAGGGTACCCTTGCATTCTTACCTCCTCGGTCCATCCTTGACTAGTTTCGCTGGCCAGCTCTTCCCGAATTCGCACGCATCCTTGCTATCAGTTCTTAGTGTACCATGGCGGGTTTTTTCCATCTGGGGCGGTCCAGAAAGGCCCTGGCCTGCGAGGGTCGCAGGAGTAGCCATCTCTTCCGCGGCGGAAGGCTGGCGGAGGGCGGCGGAAGTAAAGCGAAGGCCGCCTCCGCCAACGAAAGGCCGGCGAAAGGCCGGCGGACGACGGCGGAAGTAACGATGCGCCCCCAAGAGATGACAACATGTTTGGGTTCAGGGTCTCCGCAGCTCGCCATCCGGGCCCTGGAGCCAAAAAGTGTGCGGGATTCACTAGTAGCCAGGTCTGTTTGCCGTTTGCTGGTGTCTTTCGGGTGGCAGCGGGCAGTTCCAGGGAGTGCCAGTCGGGCGGGGGAGGCGCCCCTGGGCACACACATCACTTTACCAGGTCCCGCTCGGCCCAGTCCCGCCAACGCACAGTCATGGTGTGCGTGTAGTTTCTCCATCGGGTATTCCCGTGGTTTGCTTGTCCTCCTGTGTCTTCTTCGGCCCACTTCGCTGGCTCGTGCCCCTGTCTGGCTTCTCGCTGGAGCGGAGTTCGCCGCCTCGCCGCTGACGAAAACGGTTTCTCCGTCGGCTTCTCAGGCGGGCGGGCTCTGGGGCGGCTTCTTCTTCTTCGTCTTCTTTTTTTCTTTTTTCTTGGTAGTATTCTGATGTGTTTCATTATTGGTATTATGTTTTATTATCCTAAGTATTATTTGTGCCATGTTGTTCTTCTTCTTCTTCTTCGGCTTTTCTGGTGGGCGGGCTCCCTGGGGGCCCGTGCCCTCCCAGGGGGGCGCCGTGCCGCGTCGCCCCCCCCCCCTCGTCGTGCTGGGCCGTCGCCGCGCGCTGGTGTCGCCCTGCGGCGCGAGCGTGTTCTTGAAGCCTCTGGACCATGACGCGCCTTCTGATCCCCCTCCCCTCCAGAACGTAACGCTCCCCCCCCCAACGTAGCGTGCCCCTGGCACTGCCATTGTGATGCTCGCAGTCATTATTATTATTCTTCTTCTTCGGCTTCTTCTTTTTCTTCGTATGATACCAGAGAAAAACCCAATCATCATCTTTTTAGGGCTGTATAGGGCTATATGGGCTCTTGGGCGCTATATGGGCTATATGGCTATATGGGTTATAGGGCTATAGGGCGGTAGGGATATATAGGGCTATGAGGCTATAGGGCTACAGGGCACCGGGCACCCGGGCACCCGGCACCCGGAACCCGGGCACCCACCTGGCACCCGGGCACCCGGGCATCCGGGCACCCGGGCACCCGGGCACCCAGGCACCCGGGCCTGGCCACCGAATCGGCGGCGAACCCGGGCACCCGGGCACCCGCCCGGGCACCCGGGCACCCGAGCCCGGCCACCGAATCGGCGGCACACCTCACCTACCCTAAAATCCGCTAGGACCCCCACAGATGCAAGCTCTGATTGGGGAATTATCATTATTATTATTCTTTTTCGTACTCTTCTTATTTCCCGAATCAGAGCTTGCCTCTGTAGGGGTCCTAGCGGATTCATATGATTAGGTTAGGTTTGCCGCCGATTTTGGCGGCACGCCCGGGTGCCAGGGTGCCCGGGGGTGCCCGGGTGCCCTTGTGCCTGGGTGCCCGGGTGCCCGGGTGCCCGGGTGCCCGTGTGCCCGGGGACGGGTAATCCAAACCCAGTAGCTTTTCGCTTAACCGTGAGTGGATTTTCGCTTAACCGTGAGTGATTGAGTGCACGCTGTGAGCCCACGCTGTGAGCCCACGCTGTGGTGAGCCCACGCTGTGGTGAGCCCACGCTGTGAGCCCACGCTGTGAGCTCACGCTGTGGTGAGCCCACGCTGTGAGCCCACGCTTTGGTGAGCCCACTCTGTAAGCCCACGCTGTGAGTGCACGCGTTGGTGAGCCCACGCTGTGAGCCCACGCTGTGGGCCCACGCTGTGAGCCCACGGTGTGAGCCCACGCTGTGAGCCCACGCTGTGGTGAGTGCACGCTGTGAGTGCACGCTGTGGTGAGTGCACGCTGTGAGCCCACGCTGTGGTGAGCCCCTGTGGTGAGCCCACGCTGTGAGCCCACGCTGTGAGCCCACGCTGAGAGCCCACGCTGTGAGCCCACGCTGTGGTGAGTGCACGCTGTGGTGAGTGCACGCTGTGGTGAGTGCACGCTGTGAATGCACGCTGTGGTGAGTGCACGCTGTGAGTGCACGCTGTGGTGAGTGCACGCTGTGGTGAGTGCACGCTGTGGTGAGTGCACGCTGTGGTGAGTGCACGCTGTGAGTGCACGCTGCGAGTGCGCGCTGTGAGTGCACGCTGTGAGTGCACGCTGTGAGTGCACGCTGTGAGTGCACGCTGTGAGTGCACGCTGTGAGTGCACGCTGTGAGTGCTCGCTGTGATCGCACGCTGTGACCGCACGCTGCGCGCCACCCGGTGAGAAAGACCGTGAGCTCACGCTGTGAGTGCACGTGGGCCCGACGGAATTTCGAATTGCCTACGCGTTGGATTTCCCCGCGCGGTCGATTTCCTCTGGTTTGTGTGTGTGTGTGTGGGTGTGTGCGTTTGCGTGTGGTGGCGGTGGTGGGAGTTGTGGTGGCTGTGATTGTGGTGGTGGTGGCGTTGGTGGTGGCGGTATCATTGGCGGTGGTGGTGGTTGTGGTGGTGGGTGGTGGTATGTGTGTGTGTGTGTGTGCGTGTGTGCTTTGTGGGCCCCGGAAACGGCAGGGCAGGTTTTTCACCGTTTCCAAAACAATGTTCCTTGAAAATGGAAACGGCAAAAAAACGGCGACCGGAAACAACAGAAAAACGGCTCCAAGATTGGAACTGGAGCCGGAACTCGTCCCAAAACGGCGACGGAACCGGTTAAAAAACGGCGTCGGAACCGGACGGAACCGGTAAAAAAACGGCCCTGTCGTTTCCAGAGCCCACTAAGCGTGCGTGTGTGTGTGCGTATGTGTCGGGTGTTGTGCGGAGTGCGGCGCTCGGTGTGCGGTGGGCGGTGTGTTGTGTATGGTGTGTGGTGTGTGGCGTGATGCGTGTGGCGTGTGGCGTGTGGTGTGTGTTGTGTTGTGTGTCGTGTGTTGCGTATGGTGCATTTCGAGAGGTGTGTGCCATGTGGTGTTTTGTTGCGTGAAGTGTGTATGTGCGTGGTGTGTGGCGTGTGGCGTGTGGTGGGTTGACGCCACACGCAACGCCACCACGCACACAAACGCACGCACACACACACCACAGAGGAAATCGACCGCGCGGAAAAATCCAGCGCGCAAGGCATTCGAAATTCCGCCGGCCCCACAGCGTGCACTCACAGCGTGAGCTCGCAGTCTTTTTCACCGGGTGGCGCGCAGCGTGCGCTCACAGCGTGCGCTCACAGCGTGCGCTCACAGCGTGCCCTCACAGCGTGCACTCACAGCGTGCACTCACAGCGTGCACTCACTCGGCCTACGCTGCTCACAGCGTGGGCTCACAGCGTGGGCTCACAGCGTGCACTCACAGCGTGCACTCACAGCGTGGGCTCACCACGGCGGGCACGCACAGCGTTGGCTCACAGCGTGGGCTCATAGCGTGGGCTCACAGCGTTGGCTCACAGCGTGGGCTCACAGCGTGGGCTCACAGCGTGGACTCACAGCGTGGGCTCACAGCGTGGGCTCACAGCGTGGGCTCACAGCGTGGGCTCACAGCGTGGGCTCACAGCGTGGGCTCACAGCGTGGGCTCACAGAGTGCACTCACAGCGCGCACTCACAGCGTGGGCTCACCACGGCGGGCACGCACAGCGTGGACTCACAGCGTGCCCTCACAGCGTGGGCTCACCACAGCGTGGGCTCACACGCTCACAGCGTGGACTTACAGCGTGGGCTCACAGCGTGGGCTCACAGCGTGCACTCACAGCGTGCACTCAGAGCGTGCACTCACAGCGTGCACTCAATCACTTACCGTTAAGCACAACGCTCCTCACGGTTAAGATCTACTCTCGTGCCTGGGTGCTTGGGTGCCCAGTTGCCCGGGTGCCCAGGTTCTTGGTAGCTCTATATGGCCTTATCTATAGCCCTATAGTTTTGTAGCTCTATAGCCCTAATAGCCCTAATAGCCCTATAGTCTTATAGCCCTAAAGCCCTATAGCCCTATAGCCCTATAGCCCTACAGCCCCATAACCCTGTAGCACAATAGCCCTATAGCCCTATGGCCGTGTAGCCCTGTAGCCCTATAGCCCCGTAGCCTTCTAGCTCTATAGCCTTATAGCCCCATAGCCCTAAAGCCCTAAAACGATTATGATTGGGTTTTTCTCCGGTATCATGTTATAAGTATTATTCGTATCATTATTTTCTTTTTTCTTCGGCTCTTCTGGTGGGCGGGCTCCCTGGGGGCCCGTTCCCTCCCAGGGGGCGCCGAGCCGCGTCGCCCCCCTCGTCGTGCTGGAGCGCCTCCGCGCGCTGGCGTCGCCCCGCAGCGCGCCCCCCCTGCCCCGCAGCGCCGCCCCTCGCAGGAAATACATTAACTTCTCGACGAAAAGCCCCTCGCCGCCCCTGCGATCCTAGCCGTGTGTGTGTGTGTGTGAGTGTGTGTGTGTGTGTGTGTCTCTCAGCTTCCAGGCCGCGCCGCCTTCCTGGGCGGGGCCGCGGCCGCCGGCCGCGGCCGCGGCGCCGCCAGCGTCGACCTGGCGCAGATCGCGTCCAGACCCCGGCGGCCGAGCGGCCACTCCTCGGGGCCGGCCCCCTCCCCCTCCTCCCCCTCCCCCTCGCCGCCCCTCGCAGGAAGCCGCTCAGAAAAGGAGGGAGACCCTGGGATACGGTATGTTCGCGTCGTGTCGACCAGCGGGGACCCCAGCGCGGGCGTTCAAGGTTGAGCGCCGCAGGCGACCCGAGATCGGTCGATGCTGGACGATCGGGCGTTTGGCAAACTACCGATCGTTCAAGGTTGAACACTTCCCGTGGTGTCAGGGACCAACGCTGGGGTCGGCACGACACGAATCTGCCGTACACCCCAAGGGGGCTATTCGGACGCACCCGTATCGAGGATGGACGCCCCCCCACCGTAATTAAATCCCAGGCTTGGGCCCTGAATTTCTCGTCCATTCGACAGTCCCACGAAGCCTGGGATAGGGGTCGACATATCCCCTGTTGGCCCCGTCCGCCCCCTGCCCGCCCCAGATCCGAGGACTTCTCGTGGGTCCCACTGCCCTTTCGGTGCAGAGGTCAGAGGAGGAAAGTGTACCATACCGCTACCCTTGCCTCGCTTTCCCCTTTGTGGGCCTCCTGGGTGGCCCTCGTCGCCACCGCCGAATTCGCCTCGAAATCCTGGTCAGAACGCGCCCACGGAGAGGTCCGGGGGGTAGCCGTATCGGCACCTTTTTGCTACCCTGGGAGAGATCCTTGGGGCACCGGCTGGGGCCTCGCCGCGGGGGGCCCCGCGCCCGAGCTCCTTGCGGCAAGCTTGGGGATGACCGTGCCGATCGGAGGAGCGCCTAGACACCGCTTGGCTGCTGATGGCGCTGGGAGTGCAGCGGCGGGTGGATGGCGCCCGAAGCGAGGCGCGCATGCCCATGATGAGCGACGAGGTGGTCTCTCTTTTTTTGGGTTTTGTTTTCTCTCTTTGGCTCTCTGTCTCTACCATTTTTAGGGCCTCTTTTCTCTGAAGCCCATTAGGAATGCCCAATACTGCCGTGTCCAGAACTCGGAGTGTGTTTTTGCGACCATGCCTCGACCTCCTCGCATGCTCTTACGCACGCCAAGCGACCGCATACGCCGGTTTTTCATACGGAGACCTGGTGTGGCCTCCGGGAGTCGTAAACGGGAAGAACAGACCCCATCACTTATCCATAACCACCGCCTGGGGGATCGATCTTCGAGGTCCTCGGCACGCGGTGGATGTGGACGTGATCGTCGACGAACAAGCAACGGCATCAGCGAAATTTCTCGGAGGTCTGGGCGGATCTTTCAGATCGGCGCCTGGGCCCCCTCGGCGTCACCTCCAGCGCCGCCCCTGCCACGCTCCCGCGCGCCAGGGACGGGGGGGGGGGCCAACGCCGATCCCAGAAACCCGCCCGGGCCTCAGAGGAATTGTACCCACTCGTTTTTGTTGCTCCTCAACGTCGGGCCCTTCGGGGGGCAGGCCAGCCCTGTCCATGTCCGCCGCCTGCCGAGGTCCCGGGGAGCGATCCCCCCAGGCGGCGGTCAGGGGCAAACGTCCCCGCCTCGCCCCCCGCATCCATCCGGCGGCCCGGCTCTCTTCGAGACGTGGGCCCCCGGTCTCCTCTGCGACCTCTGCTGGCCTCTCGCCCTGGGCCGGTGGCCGCCCCACACGTCGGCCCTGGAGGGTTTCTCCGAAGGGCTTAGGCGACCCGTCCTCCCTCCTCCCCCCTCCTCCCCCCTCCTCCCTCCTCCTCCCTCCTCCCTCCTCCCCCCTCCTCCCTCCTCCTCCCTCCTCCCTCCTCCCTCCCTCCTCCTCCGCCCTCCTCCCTCCTCCCTCCTCCCTCCCTCCTCCCTCCCTCCTCCTCCCTCCTCCCTCCTCCCTTCCTCCCGCCTCCTCCCTCCTCCCTCCTCCCTCCTCCCTCCCTCCTCCCTCCCTCCTCCTCCTCCTCCTCCTCCTCCTCCTCCTCCTCCTCCTCCTCCTCCTCCTCCTCCTCCTCCCTCTCCTCCTCGCCTCCTCTTCCTCCTCCTCTTCCTCCTCCTCCTCCTCCCTCCTCCTTCCTCCTCCTTCCTCCTCCTCCTCCCTCCTCCCTCCTCCCTCCTCTCTCCTCCCTCCTCCTCCTCCGCCTCCTCTTCCTCCTCCATCTCCTCCTCGGGTCGCCCACGGCCCTGGGGGACACTGTGCACCCCGAGGGGGGCCCCCGCACGGCGAGGGACGGGCCGCGCCGATCCTTGGTGGCTCGAGGGCCGCCGGCCGTCTGCTGCGCGCTCGGCGCTGCCACCGTCGCCGCGACCGTCGTCGCCGCCTCCGTCGCCGCACCCGTCGCCGCTCTCGTCGCCGTCGGCGCCGCCGCCGCCCTCGCAGCCCGCCGCCAGCGCGGGCTCCCCCCCTCCCCCGTGCGAGAGCGAAGTGGGCGTGCTGGCCGCCCTGGCGGAGGCGTACAGGGGCAGCGCCAAGAGCGTCGTGGGCGGGCCGGGGCCCCAGTCCGGCCACCGCGCGGGGCGAGCGTGGGCAGACCGCAGGGGGAGAGGGGTTGAGTCGAGGTGGGGATGAGGAGGGGGTAGATGGTGCTGCGGCGGAGGAGGAGGCTTGAGAGGAGGGAGGAGGGAGGAGGATGGGTATATACACAGCCGTGACAAAAGTTTCTTCAATTTGCTATGATGAAGATCTCTCCCATCCTTCTCAAGATTCCTAACATGACATGATGTTAGGTCATTCGGCGGAGTAGTTTCCGATCCCGGGGACGTTAATAACTCTGTTACCCCAAAACGGGATCGGAAACTACTCCGCGCCAAACCATATAAATAACCGAGCGGGATGCGATTGCGCGCGGAGTAGTTTGAATAAAATTACTCCGAACTACTCCGCACGAACGCGTCATTCCAAAAGGCGCATTGAAAGAAACTTTCGTCACGGCGATGTAGGGGAGGAGGGGGATGGCGGAGGCGGAGGAGGAGGAGCAGGAGGCACGGGTGGCGTAGGTAGTGGATTTTCGTGACGTCCCGTGCGCCACCCCGTTGCCCGTTGGGGCGTCTTCTGTGAGTCTGCCGTGAGTCACTGACTTCGGTCGGCATGGGAAACAGAAGCAGGGGAGGAGGAGGATGAGGAGGATAGCGAGCGGGGAAGGAGGTCAAGGGAGGGGGAAGGCGTGGGGGAGGATAGAGAGCAGGAGGGAAGTCCATAATTACCGATGCGTGAGCGCGCAGACGGCCCAGAGGGAATACTTCGTTGAAGTGGTTGCGGAGTTGCAGTCCTCCCGTCCCCCAGACAGTAACAAACTGGATAATGGCGCAGTGGATGAGTTGAGAAGTGGGCGGGGAGACGACGACGGAACCCTTGCGTATGGCTTCGCTTTCATGTCGCCTGTCTGAGGGAGGGGAGTTACACGCTGATTCGCTATGTGAGGGAGGGCGTTCAAGTATAATCCTCCTTTGTGGGATTTCCAACATACATCCATTTTCCGAGATAGAGTTAGCACAACGATTCATTATATCAGGACTTTTTGTTCACATACCCTTCTTTTAATGTGGGGTCGAAAGTTATGTTCTTTTTTTATTTCATATTGCTGTCTTGACCCCCAGCTGTCTAAGGCCATCCCGTGTCACATGTGGAGAATTTCGTTCTGGATTTGGAGGTGGCTTTCGTGCGGATTTTTTCCGGCCAGGAATAAAGATTAAAACGAACCCGGGCGAAATCCACTTCGTTTTTTCACTCGCCGCTTCGGGGTCTTGCATCGACAGAAATCCACGCAACAATCCGCTGCAGCACGTCTGCAAGGTCGGCGCAGTGGGGAAGGGGTTGGAAGAGGAAGCGCGCTAGACCACCTACGCCCTGGTGGGATTTGACCAGGGGCGCGGCGCGCGGGGGCCCCGGGCCGAGCTCGCCCCACGTTCGTTTCACGCGCGATGCATCTTCAGGCCGCGCGCAAGCACTTCTTACCCGCCGCCCCCCAGGAAGATATCGGAAAACATGGTAAGTGGGGGGGAGGGCGAAAACCCGGAAAATATGGCAAAATACAGGGAATCCCAGGAATTGTGTATATCTATATATATATATATACATATACGTGTGTGTGTGTGTGCGTGTGTGTGTGTGGCGTGTGGGTGTGGGTGTGGGTGTGGGTGTGTGTGTGCGTGTGTGTGTGTGTGTGTGTGTGTGTGTGTGTGTGTGTGTGTGTGTCTGGGCCCCTTCACCAAAGCCGTTCAACCGCATGCCCATTCCGCTGACCCCGAGAGCTGCCGATTATGACTGTCATTTCGCGTGCCGTGAAAACGGAACTGACGGAGCGGGCGTGCAGCAAATTGTCGCTCATAGGGGGAAACGGCGTACGTTTTTCTTGCAGCTATATGTACAATATCCAGGTGCCTGCGGCAAGGCTCGCCGCCGTGCCAGGCCAGCATTCTGGGCGACGATTGTTCCAGGGGGTAGGGGAGGCCAGCACGTTTGACATCTCGTGTCTCGTGGTTTGGGGGAGTCGTGAAAATGATGGATCCGTTGTTGATGATCAAGATGATTATGCTGGAGTCGTTGATGATGCCATGCTGATGTTGTTGATGATGTTGCTGGTGGTGATGATTATGATGAGGATGATGATGATGATCCTGCTGCCGTTGCTGCTGCTGCTGATGCTGCTGACGCTGATGATGATACGACCGAGGATGATGATTGTGATGATGTCGATGACGATTGTGAAGGTGATGGTGGTGATGATGATGGTGCTGCTGATGATGATGATGGTGGCGATTGTGATGACGATGAGTATGACGATGATGGTGACGGTGGTGATGCTGATGATGCTGATGATGCTGATAAGGTTGTTGATGATGTTGGTGCTGATGTTGGGGAGGAGGAGGAAGAAGAGGAGGAGGAGGAGGAGGAGGAACAGTTAGAGGAAACAAAAGGTGGAGGAACAGGAGGAGGCGCATGAGGAGGAGGAGAAAGGAAGGCTGTCACCTTGTACACGATTCGTTTCCACTATGTGAGGGGCGCTGATGGAACTCGTTTTGCCCGTCTTGCGGCTGTCTTGGCGTCCCGTGTGGCAGTTTTGGGGGTCCCTTGGGGCCCTCTTGGGCCGTCATGGGGCTTTCTTGTCCGTATGGTGGGTGCCCGGGGACCGTCTTGGCGCCGTCTTGGGCAGTTGAAGGCCTTTCTGAGGCCGTCTCGGGTCCCACGGAAGTCCTTCCTGGGCCGTTTTCAGGCCGTGTTGGATGCTTGTTGGGTCCTCTTGGGCCTTCTTTGGACCCTCATGAGGGCCTCCTAGGCCGCTTTAGGGCAATCGTGGAGGCTTCTTGGGCCGTCTCAAGCTGACGGAAGCCCGAAACTGCGAGAATGCGACAAAATTACTCAGCAGCCAACGGAAAACCAATGGTTTTGGTTTCTTCGGGCCCCGTCTCAGGTCCTCTTGGGGCCTGGTTGGGCCCTCTCGGAGGCACCTCGGGCCGTCTGTCGCCGCCCACCAAACCACCCCAACCCAACCCGAAGGCTCAAATTTACCCTCGATTTCCAGTTGGGGGGGGGTCGGGAACCATCGAACAAAAACACGTATGGAACCCTTGCCCCCCCCCCCCCCAACCCGAAATTCGGGTCTTCGGGTTGGGTTGGGGTGGTCTGGTAGGTAGTCAGTCTGGAGGCCACACTCGGCCGCCTTAGGGGCCATCTTGGGCCGTCTTCGAGCCATCTCGGGCCATCTTGGCTGCCCTGGTTGCCTGCCTGGGTCCGTCCTGGAAGCTCGGGACGTGGACGCACAGCTTTCTCGAGGGATTGTGGCCTCGGGAGCGCGGATCCATTGTCCTCCTCTGTCCTCCTCCTCCTCCTCCTCCTCCTCCTCCTCTTCCTCATCCTTCCCCTCGTTGTGTCCGTCGTCGTCCTCCTCCTCCTCCTCCTCCTCCTCCCTTCCTTCCCCCTCCTTTCCCCACGCCCCGTCGCCTTGAGAGCTTGGGAGGAATACCCCGGCCTGTCCGCGACCAGTGCAAACAACTTGCAGAACAGCACTTGGCATTCGTACACGCCCACATCGTGAAGGCCATGCTCCAGCCTCCTGAGTCCTCCTTCTCATCCTCCTCCTCTTCCTCATCCTTCCCCTCGTTGTGTCCATAGTCGTCGTCCTTCTCCTCCTCCTCCTCCTTCCTTCCCCTCCCTTCCCCACGCCCCGCTGCTCCTCATGCTTCTCTCCCTCCTCGATCTTATCCTCCCCGCTTCCCAGTCGGCGCCCGCCACGAACTCTACCTTCCCACGACTCGCGCGTGGGGGGAGGGGGGTGGGGAAGAAAAGGACGCGGAGGAGATGGAGGAGGAGGAGGAAGAGGAAAAGGATGATGCGGAAGTGGACGCGGAGGCGGAGGCGGAGGCGGAAGCGGCGGAGGAGGAGGAGGAGGAGGAGGAGGAGGAGGAGGAGGAGACAGAAGAACGCAACAGGGTTCACACCTACTGAGGGGGTAAAGAGGGAGGCGGAGGTGGAGGGTGAGACGGAGGTGGAGGCGGAGGCGGAGGCGGATGCGGAGGATGAGGAGGAGGAGGAGAAGGAAGAAGAGGAGGAGGGAGAAGGAGGAGGATGAGGACGAGGCGGAGGAGGAGGAGCAGGAGGAGGAGTGGGAGGAGGGGGAGGCGGAGGAGGAGGAGGTGGAGGAGGTGGAGGAGGAGGAGGAGGAGGACGAGGAGGAGGGGGAGGAGGGGGAGGAGGGAAGAGCAAGAGGAGGGAGGAAGAGTAGGAGTAAATGGTTGAGGAGGAGAACCAGTGTAAACCCAAGAGCCATCAACAAAGTTGTGTAAACCCTTCCTCCAAGCTCCCTCTCCAGATGCCCCCACAACGGCCCACCTCCAATGATGGAACTGCCTTCGTTGGAAGACAACCGTTTGAACATTTTGAAGCATGCCAAAACATTATTCTCGGGACTCCAACGCCACAGATCAACCGGACTGTTGCGTTTGGACGATCCTGAATCGCGACAGAACGCCATAGCTGGGAGTTCAACACCGCGAGTCCACGTAAATGTTGCACCCTCATTAACCGGAATCTCTTCAAAACACATTTTTTGGTACGTAGATAATGGGGAACCGAGGAACTCTTGCAACTTTTAAGAACGAATGTGCGCGGCGCTAAGACGAGAGCCACATTTTGAATTGGAACCGCCCTCAATCCGTGAAACCCTCGCAATTTTCAAGAACGAATGTGCGTCGCTAAAGCGACAACCACATTTTGAAAAGAGGAACCGCCCTCAATCCGTGAAATGCGTGCAAATGTTTATTACGAAAATGCATGGCGCTAAGGCGCGAGCCACATGTTCAAAACCACCCGCCCTCAATATGTCAAACTTGTTTTAAACGAATGTGCGCGGCGCTGAGGCAAAAGCTACATTTTGAAAACCACCCGCCCTGAATCCGTGAAACTTTTGCACATGGTGATCGTTTTTTCATTCCTTGATTTACCGATCGGCGCGTGCCCTCGCCCCCCCCCTCCCCCACCTGGAATGGATCTTGGCTGTTTCTGGCGCCTGGTTCGAGCAGGTGGAGTTCCTCCCCCATAGGACTCGCTGTCGCAAACAGTCGCACTAAGCAGAGGTCTTGAGCCAGACCCCCCCCTCCGCCCCCTTTCCGCCCAATGTCGAAACGCCGAATTAAGAAAACGCTCACATGCTTAACACGAATGTGCGCGGCG